TGCAAATGACAGCTGTCTCCCCTAACATTTTCCCATTTACGGCACAGAACTCCATCCTGAAGCAGCAAGCTGTCTCACTGGGCCCAATAGCTTTTAGTAGTAGAGGGCGTATTTGATGTTTTAGGTGGTCCGTCCTGAGCATCCTCACGGATACCTCTTCCTTACTCTCTTGCCTAGTACAATGGTTGCAATCTTCAGGACAAGGTCTTCTTGACAATGCATCTGCGTTGCCGTGAGATTTTCCGCTGCGATGTTCAATCTCAAATTCATATTCCTGCAGTAGTTCAATCCACCTCGCAACTTGTCTTTCTGGATTTTTAAACTGCAATAGCCATTTTAGTGCAGCATGGTCAGTTCGTAAGTGAAATTTCCGCCCCAGATGATATTTGCTAAAATGCTGCAACGACTTTACCACAGCGAACAATTCGCGTCTTGTGACACAATAGTTCCTTTCCGGTTTTGAAAACGACTTGCTGAAGTACGCTATCACGACCTCTTGGTCACCGTTCCGTTGAGACAACACACCGCCAAGTCCTATATCACTTGCGTCTGTGTCAACTATAAATTCTTTGCTTGCATCAGGGTATCCCGAAATAGGTGTTTTGCACAGACGGTCCTTGAGCTCCTGGAATGCGATATTGCAACTTTCATCCCAGCAGAAATGTCGCTTCTCCTCGGTTACCTTGTGCAGAGGTTTGGCTATATCTGCAAAGTTCTTCACAAATCGCCGGTAATAGGAGCACAAACCCAAAAATGCTCTAACCTGCGTCTTTTCTTTTGGAACCGGCCAATCCTTGACAGCGGCGATTTTCTCTGGATCTGTGCGGATACCTTCTTCCGATACTACAAACCCCAAAAAGTTAACTTGCCGTTGGAATAGTGAACATTTCTTCGGGCTCAACTTGAGGTTGGCACTCTGAATCTTCATGAGCACGCGTTCTAGGTTTTGAAGGTGTTCCTCAAACGTACGGCCTACGATGATGATGTCATCCAAGTAGACCAGACAGGCATCGCCAATTAGCCCGGTAAGTACAAGTTCCATCAGCCTTTCAAACGTTGCTGGAGCATTGCACAACCCAAATGGCATTACTTTAAATTGCCACAGACCCTTTCCCGTCGAGAACGCAGTTTTCTCCTTGTCCTTAGGATCAATTTCAACTTGCCAGTAGCTACTTTTTAGATCCAGCGTGCTAAACCACTTTACTCCTGTAAGCATGTCCAGCGTGTCATCAATTCTTGGCAAGGGATAGCTGTCCTTCTTCGTAACGTCGTTCAGACGGCGGTAGTCAACACAAAACCGCATGCTGCCATCTTTCTTCTTCACCAGCACCACTGGTGAACACCATGGACTAGAGGAAGGTTCAATAACACCATCCTTCACCATTCCTTCAATCATGGTTTCCACTTCCTTTTCACGTGCTACCGGCAATCTTCTTGGCCGCTGACGGATATGTAATTCTTCTCCTGTGTTTATTTTGTGTTGAACTAAGCCAGTCTTTCCTATGTCCACCATCGTTTGATGAGAATACATCGGCGTACTTGAGTAACAACTTCTTCGCCTTGACCAATTCGTTCGGGGAGAGAACACTGCGACAGTCTTCCAAAAGTGTGGTCACTCTCGTTTCTGCATCCTTGGTGGGGGTCCCACTCGATATATATTGGCACCGACGTAACCAATCCACTTCCTCACAAGTACCAATGAGTGTGCCTTTTTCTATAATCTGTTCCCGGTCGCAAAGGTTCAGCACACGTACTCCTGAGATGTCAGTGGTCCTGACCAAGGTTCGAGCTACTTTCCATGGAAGCTCATTGTTTACCCTTTCCACAAGTACACAACGGTGAGCTTGCCCAGCGTTTCGAGGAAGACTAACCGGAACAACCGTTTCCGATCTCGGCGGAAGAACAATCTTTTTAATGCTGTACACGTTCCCTGGTAACGCACCTTCCATAAAAAGTTCCTCCTGTCCACATTTCAAAACACCTTGCTTAACGTCGATCTCACAACAATTATTCCTCATAAAGTCTAGGCCTAGGATGCAGTCGTCCATTATATCAGCCACGATGACATTATGCAGGTAGATCACGTTGCCTAGCTTCAACTCCATCTCCTCTCCACGGACGGGTATACGCTGACCGGTGGCTGTTACCAAATTAATGCGTTCTCGGTTGTATGCGGAGTCCCCAAGTGGCTGACTTATAAGTTGGGAACTAACAACCGTACGAGAGGCTCCAGTGTCTATGGTCAGTTTACACGGCATTCCGTTGACCTCGCCCTTGATGATTAGACTGTTCTGGGTTTGTGAGATCGAGATCCTTGGGGCTCTTTTAACATCAGCCAGCACCCGCCCCGCAGTTCTGGCTTTTACTCGTTTCCCTGCTGCTGCTGGGCGGTACTGTTGGCCGCACTACCCTCCTGAGATCGTTCACCTTCCCTTTCTAGGGTTCGCTTAGGGCAGCTGGATCGAAGATGGCCCTTTTCGCCACAGCCATAGCACCTTGGGCTGTATCCTTTGTTGCGGTCGCGAACTGTAGCTGCTGCAACCTCCCTGACGCGATGGGAACGATGATCCTGCCGCACGGCTTCCACTTCCAGTGCATGGGCCAAGGCGTCCTTAAGCGTCTCGTGGTGCCCGATCCTCACAGCAGCTCTGACTTCCAGGTCGCGGATGCCGTCGATGAATGTCTGCACCAGGTTTCCTTCAATGAGCGCAGGTACAGACCGGTATGCTTTTCACACCAGCTTCTCCACTTCTAGAGCCCACTGCTGCAGGTTTTCGTTGATGCGCTGCACACGATCTTTAAGCTGCGCACGAAAGACGTGTGAAAGACCAGGTGAGCGTCGCCATATCTCGCCTCCAATGCCTCAAGGAGTTGCTCATAAGTCACTTCCTCACCGAGAGCTTCCAGAACTGTTAAGGACTGGTCACGCAGGCCTAGTGTGAGAGCAGTCATGGCCCTATTTTTATACCAGCCGTTCGCCTTCATAACAGCTTCGAACTGGATTTTGTAGGCTGACCAGGAAGAAGTCCCGTCGAATGGTGGCACCTTGAACCCACGTAGCGAAGGTGTAGTAGCTACTACGGGAGCTGTAGTTCCCTCCCCAAGTTTGAGTTCGTCAAGTGATTTCTTCATGTCAGACATTACGTTGTCAACCCGATTGTTCACTTGGTCAATTCGGGTTTCAGCTTCCGACAGGCGGTTTTCATGTTGAGCAACCTTATCCTTCACCTCCCTTATCTCTTTCCCGAAGGTAGCGTGAAGGTCCTTCATGAGAAGCATCTGTTCCTCCTGTCGGCGGGCCTGTTCTGCCTGTCCGCCCCGCAGCTGCTCTTTCAACTGACGGACCTGTTCCTCCTGTCGGCGAGCCTGTTCTTCCTGCTGCTCTTTCAACAGACGGGCCTGTTCCTCTCGTCCGCGCTGCAGCTGCTCCTGTAGCATCGCCATCAGAGCATCTAAGTCAGGTGCTGCAGGTGTAGGAGCTACTGACGAGCCCGCAGCCTCCGTGGCTGGCCGTTGGCCCTCCGACGTCTGAGGCGTTGCACCACCAAATCTCCTCTGGTCCGTCTCCTGCTGGCGTTGCCTTCGGGTACGGACACCCTCCGATTCCTCCTTTGGTAAAATCGGTATGATTTTATCCCACTTCTGACACCAATTGTTACGAGCTTGAGGTTCGTGACAATAAAAATTGCCGATAAAATTACCTAAATTAACACTTTAATTTACTTTACACAAATTAAAACTTAAAACACTAATAATTAAACACACTAATTCACTTTATTCCGCTCTGAAGCTTCGCTTGTCTCGCCAAATCCAATACTTCCCCGATCGCATCTTGCAGCGCCTATATATACTCTCGCTCTCGTTCCTGACACTAGATGGCGCTAGTGTATGACGTTGACTTATTCACGCAACAATATGGTTGTAGCACAAATGGGTCGGCTCAAGCGGGGTAGGACCACGCTCCCACAGAATATCAGCGTTTAATAGCAGCTCAACGCTGCTGTGTTTCGTATTATTAGAGTATAGAATCGGAGACCTTTTTTACTGGAAGTGAGGCATTCCATCCTGGTCCTCAGGGATGACAACGCATCTGCATTTTAATTCTTATTCAAGGATAAATGTAGATGGTTTTGGGCAACAGCATCCACATGGACTGTGTACTCTTTTGACATACTTATCTATTAAAAAAAAGCCAGTATTTCAATTTCGCAAAAAGTCCTTCATTTTTTCAGGAAAAATAAGTAGGGATGCCGATTCTTTCCGAAAAAGATAAATTTTTAAATCGATTTTTGAAGTTTGGGTACATTCAACTAATTGTAAATATTTTTATAGTTCTTATAAAAACAGAAAAAAACTCGATCTTGTTGAAGGGTGAAATATCGATTCACTGGATCGATTCAGTACTATAAATCAATTTAATAATCGTTCTTTTTGAAATCGATTATTCAATTAATCGATCTCATATCGCCATGTCTAAAAATAAGCCCAGATCTAACCTCGCATTGTTCTATATCTGTTGAAGTTAAATCACAATTATTTCAACCATTCTGAAAATAATTATAGATTTTTTAGAGAATTATAGATTATAGAAGATAAAAACTCTGAACAGACTGACAAACTGACAATAATGTTAATGAATTTCAATATATTTATATCATATTTTCACATTAAAAGAACCATAACTGATCTATAATCAATGTTAATTAAAATTAAAGGTAAAAAAATTGCACTAACATAAGTAATCAAAATAATTTATTTTGGTATATATTACGTTGCAAACATTCGTTTTTATGGTCACTTGAGGAATACTCGGCCTTTTGTGTAGGCCATAATATAATATTAAAGTAACAATATAAAAATAGTTTTACTAAAGTATCCATATTTACAGTTAAATATATTTATGCACAAAGTTAACAAAACATTGCAAAAATACAAATCCGTAAAACTATTACGTACAACGCGATTTACAGAAGCTGAAATAATATGAATGTAATAAGTCTTCAACTCTTTGTTTCTGTAGGTTCTTGGTCCCTCAGCTCGGGGAACAGTTCCAAGACACAGAGGTCCAGTAGGCTGTACACTAACTGTAAATAAAAGCTTTCGTTAGATAACATAAAATATTTTATTTTATTTTGTTTAACAATTTTAAGATAATTACTAATAATTAGGTAAATACAAAAAAATAAAAAGGAGTCAATAATAGTTCTCACACATTTTTTTATAGAATAGGAGTGACGAAACACATTCCAGCGTCGAATAATAATAATAAAACGGATCGTTATGGAAAATGAAACGTTTCTTGAGTATAGAAATCAATCTTCAAGAAAGCGTACTATTTTTAAAAAGGCAGCCAACGCACATGCATCTTTCCCGGTGTTGCTGTTGTTTATGGGCGGCGGTAGCCGCTATCAGGTGAGCCGCATGCTCGTTTCCCCCCCCCCCCCCTATTGTATAAAAAATGAGCACAGACCTGTACCGAGCAGCGAGAAGTTTTTTTTTAATAGGATAAGGATGACAAACGAGCGCACAGTCCACCTGATGGTAAGTGGATGCTGTGGCCCGTAGATATCTACATCTATCCTCGATTACGAATCAAAATACAGATGCGTTGTCACCAGTGAGGACCAAGTTGAAATGCCCCTTTACAGTAAAAAAAATAGTTTTCGGCTCACTACACTCACCATACGAGACACAGCAGTGTTAAGCTACTATTTCACGCTGGTATTCTGTGAGAGCGTGGTCCTTCCCCGGTCGAGCAGATCCATTCGTGCTACAATTATACTACTAAAATAGCTGTAGCATGGCTCTAACACGTTAAAAAAACGTTATCAGTAGCCTTTCTTTAATTCACTACAAGCAAGACATACCAGTCAAAAGTGTATTTTTTCAAGCTCATAAGTACACCTGATAGTATGTGGCGACTGCATCCTATTAACATTTGCAACCAACCGTGGAAAAAAAATGACACTGATGTGCTTCACAGCCTGTACTGATACAGAACAGGGAGCATTTCTATAAAAAAAACCACTCTTACCTGTTTGTTTAACTGCGGGCTCTGTATGATATCGAAGGCGGCGAACACAGCTGAGTGCAAGCACCTTGGGACACGACGTTGTAGTCCATCTCGGGCTGCTTCCCGCTGAGCGATCGGCTCCATTCGTGCCGGTAATGTCTTCTTACCGAATAGCAGATCTATGAGTATAAAAATCTTTAATAATGTTGCAAGCCATAATTGATGCCCCTAGCGCCATCTAGTGTCGGGGAGCTGATCGAGGAGAGCTTTCTAGAAAAGTCCACACTCGAATTTTCTACATCTAGTCGGTCGGTACCGGTATTTGCTGGAACATTCTGGATGTTTCGGCGGAAAAGGTCTATATAAGGTCGTTTGGGAACGCGACCGGGCAGTATTGAATTGGCGATACGAGCGAAACAAAGTGAAGTGTTAAGTGTGATTAATTATTAGTGTAATTTAAGTTTTAATTGGTGTTCAGTAATTAGTGTCAATTTAGGTAATTCAATCGGCAGTTTGTCTGTAAAAGCCATTGTTATTTTATAGAAATGATAAAGGGCTCTGCGGCCTTAATTTATTGGACTTATATATTAGACGTGGTTGAGTCACGCTGCAGCTATATTATGGTTGTAGCATGAATAGGTCGGCTCGACCAGGGAAGGACCACGCTCTCACAGGATACCAGCGTTAAACAGCAGCCTAATGCTGCTATTTGGTTTGGTAAGTGTAAAGAACCGGAGACCCTTTTCATTGGAAAGGAGGCATTTCATCTTAGTCCTCACGGGTGACAACGCATCTGAATTTTGATTCGTAATCGAGGATAGATGTAGATGTCTATGGGCCGCAGCAACCACTTGCCATCAGGTGGACTGTGTGCTCGTTTATCATCCTTGTCCTATAAAAAAAAAACTATCCCACTTGGTGATAAGTGGTGATGTCTAACTAATTGGTAAATCGCACTGTACTAGCGTAACAAAAGCCTGTTCACTCTTTCTTTGAAGACGGCCCTATTTTCAACAATCCAACACTGATTTTGTTCAATGTAAGTAAACGCTGTCATTATTTATGTGCGCACTTAGTAAACGTGATTTGAAGTTTATTTCGGATAATTATGAAACTTTATTTCGTATTTACCTAAAAACGGTAAGTGTTGTCAATGAAAATACAACAGCCAGCTACCCGAACGGTCGGCGCACGGGCGAGCCACAGCTATTACACAATATTTGTACCGAATTGCCGGTTAAATACTAAACATGCTCCCGGCGACGCCAATCCTCGTACAAAATAAGGTTGACAGCCATTCTATTGTCTATTATAGTATTCTATGGCTATAACACAGTATTTGTTCCAAATTGCCGGTTAAATACTAAACATAGATATCTTTAATTATAAATAATCAAATGTGCCTTATAAAACTTGCGAAACACGCGTTGTTAGATGCGGTGAGACTAATAACAATTAAAGAGTCGTCATTGCAAAGTTTTCCTTAAATGATGAAAGGTTGGTCATTTTAACCTTAATTGTAATATATTGTGTACGCGAATACAATTTTTGACCTTTATTAGTAGTATCGTCCTCTAGACTGCATTTAGATCAATGCGGCTAGCCTTAACGGAGACTAGTCATCTGCTAAAGACAGGATTGTAGTCCAAGAGTACGCAAGCACATTTGGTACCTCTCTATTGCCTCACTCTCACAGTATGATGCGACAGTAATCCGATGCAACCGGAGGGATGTACTTGTGGCGTCGCTCTCGTCGCACCACAAGCAAAACACATCGAAGCCTAAATCGTGCTATCAAAGTTCCGAATCTTTTGATTCGGAACTTTGTATATAGAATAGGATATATATGGAACATAGTACCGAACTATTACATGGAGCGTTGGCCGCTCCCCGGGCAGAACACCTTGCCCGGCGGGAGATCTCGTCTTTTCCTTTCTCGGCCACATACTCAACTTTACGTGCTCCCGAGGCACGGGGGTAAAACGGGGCCAAATCCCGGACTCCGGGCTGGAACTGACAACTTCTTGACAGAAAAACTCAATACCTGATTTTTTTGTCCCGACTCCGGATTCAAAGCCTTGACCTCAGGATCAGCGGCCGCGTTTATGGCCAATAAATAAACGAGACAGTCAAATCGATAAAAATTAGCAACAATTTATCTTCCTCTATATTACAACCTGGGATAGGTATTTCTAACAAGCACGGTAACTACATTGTAAACTACAACAGTGTAACTGTGTAATTAACAATCTAGGGCAGAGTTCCCCAAACCTTTTTGTGTCGTAGACCCCTTGCCATGTTTTTCCGTATTGGGTAGACCCCCTACTTACCTGATAATGATTTCCTGTAAATTTCTAACTGTAGTGAAGTTTAGTGTTAAAAACTTAAAGTAAAAACACATGTTAATTTATACATTTATTAATTGAATTTAAATTAAAACTAAAATAAACGTATTTGTCCCACATTCGTATTTATAGAGTGACGAATTGAACAAGTCAGTGCAAGGTAGCGAAGCTCTGAGACTGCGACTCTCAGGTTTTTACAAGTTCAAAATGTATTGCGACCACAAAGCGAATACCGACATCCTGCAACTTACACAATTTTATAAACATATATAATAAATTTTTTACTTCATAGGTACTTTTATAAATAATGTATATGTTTTGATATTATAAGATAGTACGATGTAAGTAAATAGGTACTACAAGTGTATGTGTTGAGATCCACTATCGTGGACCCCCATTTTCATTTCATGGACCCCCCCAAATTATTTTTTCGCTGACGTAGTCCCCTTGCAGGTTGTCATAGACCCCTAGGGGTCGATATAGACCACTTTGGGAATCACTGATTCTAGGGCCTTAAAAGAGGAAGTCAAACTCGAAACATTTTAATTCAAAATTATCTTTCACAAAACATTTCTTGAAAAGCAAGAAAGAAACTACTCCATCGCTTTTAACACGTCCCATCAGTGGGAGGTTGTGTGAGAAGTTGAAAGGAATTTACAAGTCAATTTACTTACTTGTGAGTTTCTGCCAATCTACTTTACGAACGGCAATAAAACAATAAATTTAATAGGCTTCTTTGACCTTGACACTTCGCAGAGTCCTAGTTTAGGGTGAATATGATTTGAGTTTCGATAGATTTAATTAAAAAAATTGTTTTTACTTTTTGTAAAATAATAGTGAAATAAGCTTCTACTGCGTTCATTTTATGTTAGACCCTATTTTTAGACAGTAAAAAAGGTCATCCAGTATACTTCATCACCACTTATCACCAGGTGGAAAAATAATCAAGTAGTAGCTTTTGAAAGGTTCTCAAGTGGTACCGGAGCTTTGTGGTATTTCTTGGGGCCTATCTTTGTTAAAAAATGAAATTGTGATGGGCTGTAATGATGACGATGATGACTATAATATTATGTAAAAATAGGGCAAAATAGTAAAATTTAGTTACTCACCATGTCCTAAGCGAATAAGATGCGCCAACCTTCTTTCGGAGAGGAGATCAGACAACTTTGTGTTTAAATAGTTATTGAATGCATCATCTAGAAACGTCCGCGACATCGCTAAGACGCTACCAACAATACCGCAGACGAAACCGGGCGCTTTTATAACCTTCATCACTGAAAAATAGTAATTTCAAATGAGGTTACAATTTTTTCGATTTTCTTACATAGTAGCATTCAATAGTACAACATTTAAGCTCGCCTCATTTCCGGTTTCCAATGCCTCCTTTCTAAGAAATATGCAATATGAAAAATAAATAAATATGTATTTGTATCATCACGATTATTGGGGACACCAACTTTAAATTATTTATCTTAAAAAAATGTTTTAAATAGATCCATAGTATTTTTTTCACCAACGCTGTTGGAGATATGGCGAGGGATAAAAAATTTTAAAGATTTATTTGGAAAGATGGTTAATGAAATTAAACAAAAAAGCTACAATAATAACCTCTTAAATGGAAACCACAATCCTAATCTCAACATATAAAATAAGTCAATTTCTTTTTTTACCCCAGTCAAACTACCGCGTAACATTATAAATACTTATGTACACTGAGTTGATTGAATCTGTGTCGTATGGTGAGTGTAAAGAATAGTGATCTAACAGAAGTGTCATAATGGAAACAGAAACAGAAGTCAAAAGTAAATTTTAGAAACAGAAACTGAAACGGACGCAGAAGCGAAAGTGTAAATGCTATGTAAAAAGTACAATTTATGACAAATAAAATTTTTATTCAATTAACATTTAAAATTAAGTAACGGTAAGTTAGACATACAAAGGCAGGCCACTTGTAAACTATATAATAAACATATGTTCAAGAAAATGGATCTCTGCCAATATTATTGTGTATGTATTTTATTAATTTGTCATTTGATTACGATTTGACGGCAAATTGAATATTGTCTGTGTCACGTCAGCATGAATTTAACGCGAGAAAATTTTCGAACAATATTTTTTTATGACTTTCGATGTCATTTAAGTCAACAAGAAAGTTATGATAGACTTCGATTGGCCTTTCACGATGAAGCCCCATCTCGTGCCACTGTTTACAACTGGTTTAATGAGTTTAAACGTGGTTGCACTAATCTAACCGATTATCTGCGTGAGGGACGGCGACGACTGAAGAAAACATCAGTGTTGTGCGGCGTATGATAGAAACTGACAAAAGAGTGACTTATCAGCAGATTCGGACAAGCTTAGGCATCGACATGAGTCAAGTGCACAAAATCCTTCATGAACATTTAGCGGTCAGGAAGTTTCGTGCCCGGTGGATACCTCATAATTTGACAGAGGCCCAAAAACACCGTCGTGTTGATAGGTATCGTTCAGGCCAACCTCCACCACAGCGAAACTGCGTCGGCTCAATTACGCAAGTGGTTGGAGGTTCAAAGGACTGCCATAGCCTTAATCCAGGAGCCGTGGGTTGGGGGCTGGTAAAATTAAAGGCCTAAACAACCTAAAAGGTAAGCTATTCTACAGCTCTGAACACAAGCCTAGAGCGTGTATTTACACTACTAAAGATATCTGTGCACAACCATTAACAGATTTCTGTTCTAGAGACATGTATGCCGTGGTAATACAATACACACAGGAGAGAAGATTAGTCGTCGCCTCGGTCTACATGCCGGAGGAAGACACTCCTCCCCCCTCATGACCTCGGCAGGCTGGTGAACTTCTGCGAGAGGACCGGACTAGAGGTTGTGATCGGGACGGACTCCAACGCACATCATCCCCTTTGGGGAATGGAAAAACCAAATGAACGAGGTAAGGTTTTAGTTGAATATTTATTTAGTACTAACCTAACCATTTTAAACATAGGTTCTGAACCTACTTTCATAAACAAACGCTGTCTCACTATAATCGACCTCACACTTGCAACAGAAGGAGCAGCCAAACTAATTACGGGATGGCATGTGTCGAAAGAGGCCTCATGCTCAAACCATAGATGGATCTGCTTCGCACTACAGGTCGATATCCCCTCTACACCACCATGGAGAAATCCCCGCAAGACTGATAAAACAAAATACCTAAATAGGCTGACGTCTTCGCTCGCGGGTTTTGAGGGGATAAATACTATAGCAGATCAGTCGCTCCTAGAAGAACAGATAGCAGCTGTTACTAAGGCCATGATAGATAGCTACCAAGAACCATGTCTAGAAATCACTCCACCAAGGCATGCCGAGGTAAAGCAACAGTGGTGGGGTGAAGAACTCGATAGGAAACGTAAGAAGGTAAGAAAAACACTAAATAGGGCCATGAATACCTCAATGGATGAAGACTGGCTACTATATAAGAAAGCTAAGTCTGAATACAAAAAATGTATCGGGTATCGACGCTCGACTGGGTGGCGTAAATTCTGTGGCAACATAGAAACCTGCAAACAAGCAAATAGGATAAGGAATATTCTAGCTAAACAGAACACGTCGAATACGACTTAACCGTCAATCCAAATAAAACGGTTTTAGTAATTTTCACACAAAAACGAATGCTGAATAACTATCATCTTCCAAGTCTTTTCAGCACAAAACTCCAGCTATCCTCTGAGGTAAAATACGAGTATTTAGGTCTTACCTTGGACAGCAAACTTAACTGGAATAAACACATAGAAAACAAAATCAACAAAGCTAGTATAACTTTCTGGCAATGTAGAAACATGATTGGCAAAAGATGGGGACTGACGCCAAAAATCATACTGTGGCTTTACAAAACTGTAATTCGGCCCATGATCACATACGGCGCTCTGGTATGGTGGACCAAGACAAATGAAGCCACCACAATTAAGAAGCTTCAGCGCTACCAGAGACTGGCATGTATGGCTGCCACAGGCTGCATATGAACTACGCCAATAGCAGCCTTGGAAGCGATGCTGGAGCTAACTCCGCTTCATCTACATATACAACAAGAAGCGACTTTAGCTGCCATCAGACTCAAGACCCTAAATCTTTGGAGTAAGAATAGTGTCCCTCATACAGGCATAATTGATAGAATTCACTCGGAAATTCCTATCCTACAAGCGAAATACGATAGGATTCCTAAACAATTTGTTTTCGATAAGAAATACAAGATCAATTAAATGAAAACAGCCAGCCGGAAGGATTAAGCCTTAATGAAAAGAGATTAGAGTTTTCACCGATGGTTCTAAAACAAATGAAGGTGTAGGTTCTGGAGCTTTCTCTGAAGACCTCAATATTCACATATGCACACCGCTGGGTACCTATAACACGGTCTTTCAGGCGGAATGTATGGGTATCATTCAAGCGGCCATTGCAATAGATGCTAGGAAGGTTAATGACTTCCCCATCAGAATACTGACCGACAGTAGGGCGGTACTACAAGCTCTGAGTTGCATTGGGGTGAACTCGGGACTAATATATGAATGCCATCAACGATTAAATGAGGTATGTAAAAACAACAATGTGACTCTGCAATGGATAAAGGGACACAGTGGATCCAGAGGCAACGATGCAGCGGACGAACTGGCCAGAAGAGGATCGGCTCTGGCCACTATAGGGCCGGAACCAATCATACCAATCCCCTTTGGTAACGTTCGTTCACTGGTACGTAGACACTTCACTAATCAACACGCTCAGCTTTGGAAAAATCTAGTAGACTGTAGACAAGCTAGGGAGGCCCTACCTGTAATAAACAGTCGCTTAACCAAAGTTTTAATGAGACTGAACAAGCCGCAGATCAGGATAGTAACAAGTGCTATCACAGGACACGGCACCTTTAACAAACATTTATTTACTATAGGTGTTACAGATAGTCTCCTGTGCAGGGCATGTATGGGGGAGGAAGAAACGGCGGCCCACGTGCTACTGAAATGTCCGGAGGTCGCTACGTACAGGGTTAAACACCTCGGCACGCCGGGATCACTCCCCGAAGTTGCATGCAACATCAAGGGACTGTTGAGCTTCTTCGGGGAGATCTCATGGCTCGAATAATCACATTATTCCTGCCCACACGCAAAATACGCGCATAGACGTGGATTTGCGGAAAACAGCCCGTCGCAAACTAAACTAAACTAAGTATCGTGAAATGGTTCAAAGATTTAACGGAGGTGACTCAAATGCTGTGTTCGACATACTTACGGGTGACGAAAGCTGGATTTATTGTTATGATCTTGAAACTAAGAGACAGTCTGCTGTCTGGGTGTTTCTGTCCGAGGAATTACCAACTAAAGTGAAGAGAGGTCGAAGCGTGGGATAAAAGATGGTGGCCTCGTTCTTCGGAAGGTCAGGTCATTACGCAACATTTATTTTAGAGGATCGAAAAACAGTTACTGCAGAGTGGTACACGAACAATTGTTTGCCACTCGTCTTGGAAAAAGTTCGGGAAAAACGACCTCGCAGTAGGATCCTCCATTACCACGACAACGCCTCGTCGCACACCGCCCGCACACCGCCAAGCAAACATCGACTACTTGGCGACGTCAGACGTGGAATTACTGGGTCACCCGTGCCACAGCCCCGAACTCGCACCTTGCGATTTTTATTTATTTCCGAAAATAAAAGAAAAACTTCAAGGAAAACGTTTTATGGACGCCGAGGAAGCAGTGGCTGCGTTTCATGTATCAGAATAGCTTCGCTAAATAATTGCTCACTGGAGAGGCTGCTTGGAGGACCTGATATATCTTGGCGAACTAATGGCAAAAGACTACGGTTATACATAACATAACATAAACACTCACGCCTGTCACCCAGAGGGGTAGGCAGAGACTCATCATCATCATCATTACAGCCCTTCACAAGTCCACTGCTGAACATAGGCCTCCCCCAAGTAATGCCACAAAGCACGGTCCTGAGCCACCTGCATCCATCGACTTCCTGCATGTCTTACCAGGTCGTCACTCCATCTAGTGGGGAGTCGCCCTACACTACGCCTACCGGTACGAGGCTGCCACTCGAGAACCTTTCTTCCCCATCGGTTATCGGTTCTTCGAGCTATATGGCCGGGCCCATTGCCACTTCAGCTTACTAATCCATTGGGCTATGTCGGTCACTCTGGTTTTACTGCGGATATCCTCATTTCTGAGTCCATCACGCAGTGAAACTCAGCAGCAGCCCTCTCCATAGCTCGCTGAGCGACCTTGAGCGTCCTCATACGGCCAGCGGTGAAGGACCACGTCTCAGATCCGTAAGTCATCACTGGCAACACGCACTGGTTATACACTTTAGTTTTCAGAGATTGAGGTATACCTGACGAGAAGATGTGTCGTAATTTCCCAAACGCTGCCCAGCCGAGTTGAATCCGTCGATTGACCTCTCGGTCGGAGTTGGACTTACCTAGTCGGACTATTTGTCCCAGGTAAACGTACTCGTCAACAACTTCGAGCATAGTGCTCCCAACAACTACCGGCATAGGTGTGACATGGACATTAAACATGATCTTTGTTTTGTCCATGTTCATCTTAAGACCTATCCGTTGGGAGACACCATTGAGGTCATTGAGCATAGTGCTAAGGTCCTCCAGCGATTCTGCCATAAGGGCTATATCGTCGGCAAATCGAAGGTGAGTGATGTACTCGCCATTGATGTTAATACCGTATCCTTTCCAGTCCAGTAGCTTGAAAACGTCTTCCAACGCAGCTGTGAAGAGTTTCGGGGATATAACATCACAATGTCTTACACCTCTCTGCAGTTGGATAGGTTTCGTACTCTGGTTCTGTACTCGGATAGCCATCGTAGCCCTACTGTACAAACACTTCAGCACTTCAATATACCGACAGTCAACTTGGCACCGCTGAAGAGACTGTAGCACCGCCCAAATTTCGACGGAATCAAAGGTTTTCTCATAGTCCATATACGCCAGGCAAAGTGGCAGATTGTACTCTTCGGACTTCTGTACAATTTGCTGAAGGGTATGTATGTGGTCTATGGTACTGAAGCCTTTTCGGAAACCGGCTTGTTCGGGAGGCTGGAAGTCGTCGAGTCTGCGTGCGAGACGATTCGTAATGACTCTCGAAAACAGCACGTAGACGCGGCTCAGAAGGGAAATCGGTCTGTAGTTCTTCAAGAGAGCGTTGTCGCCTTTCTTAAAGAACAAGACCACCGCGCTTCTGCTCCACGCCTCCGGAGTAGTGCCACCATGGAGGACGGAATTGAAGAGCTTCTGAAGGACTTCAACAGAAGCTCCGCTGTAATTCCATCCTCGCCCGGGGCCTTGCCGTTTTTAAGGTGGTGGAGAGCGATTCTAATCTCGCTCAGACTGACGTCCAGGATATCATCGGAATAGTGTCGGATAAGACTTGCTCTTGGATCGTTACTCACACTTGCGTGTGGCTCCAACGATGATGTGTACAGCTGCTCATAGAACCTCTCAATCTCACTCAGAATCTCAGGTGTCTCGGAAACGATGTTGCCACACTCAGTCTTCAGCCTTGACAGTTGGCTCTTTCTGGCAGACAGATCTCTGGCAAAGACTTTGGAGCATTGGTTCCGCTCGACCGCTTCTTTAATACGAGCAGTATTAAAGTTGCGTAAGTCTCGCCGCATGCATTTGGAGATCTGTCTGTTCAGTTACCTGTATGCTGTCAAATCTGTTGACGATTGCAGCCTCATCTCCCGTCTAACAGCCACGAGATTAAGAGTGTGATCGGAGAGTTTTTGTGTTCTTCTGCGGCGGGTCTTGCAGAACTTAGCTCCGACCGCATGGACAGTTTCCACGAGCTTGTCATTCATATCGTCCACTGCATTGCAATCTTGTAGGCACTGAAAGCGGTTACGTAACTCGAGCTGAAAGTTTTCGGGATTCTGGATTAGAGCACGAGGGGGACGAAGCGTTGACTTCATTAGGCGAGACCTCTCCAACTTAACGTTTAGGTTCAGTGTGCCTCTAACCATTCGGTGATCGCTGCCAGTTTTCACCCTTGCGATCACTGAGACATCACTGAACAGTTGGCGTCTGGTCGTCATAATGAAGTCAATCTCATTTTTTGTCGAACCGTCGGGGCTCGACCAGGTCCACTTCCTGTGGGACCGCTTCTGGAAGAAAGAGTTCATCATAAAGAGTCCCTCTTTCTCCATAAAGTCGGCCAGCTGCTGGCCCCTTCGGTTCCGTTGCCCTACTCCAAATTTCCCCACCTTCAGCTCACCGCTTTCTCTTGTGCCTAGTTTTGCGTTGAAGTCTCCCATCAACACCGCGTAGTGGGTTGAGGAATGCATGGCTCTGGAAATATCCTCATACATTTCCTCCACCTCCTCATCGGGATGTGCCGAGGTTGGTGCGTAAACCTGTATGACCTTCAGCGAATACCGTTTGGTGATTCTGAGTATCAGGTACGCGACCCTCGTCGACACGCTCCCAATCTTTACAACGTTGTTGACGAGAGACTTGTGGACGATAAATCCGACACCTCCTTGGGACAGATGGTCGCCCTCCCGGTGGTAGAACAAGTTGCCGGACTCGAGGATTGCCGTATCCTCCCCCTCTCTTCGGACCTCAGATAATCTAATAATATGCCAGCGCAACTTGTCTATCTCTTCTTCCAGCTCCAGTATCTTCTCGTCAGTCCTCAGGGTGCGTGCGTTATACGTTGCCAGGTCGAGTCGTCGTAGGTGGCAACCGAACCTCCACCGGAGATTCTTAGCACCCCCTGCCTCGCCGTTACCATGGTCGCCACCGTAGCCAGGAATAGCGGGGCCGCCGGGGACTGGGGGGCGTTTTTTTGCGTCGTTATTCATGGGGGGATATTTGCCATAGTTGCCACGCTTGGCGAGCGGGTTGGCAACCGCAGTTTTTTATTATAACACAGTTGTTATCAGGAAGATGCTGCTGCCCATCTCCTGCCTGTCTCCCTCTGTCGCCTCTTACGACACCCACGGGAAGATATGGGGTAGTGGATATTCTTAACCGCCACTACACGGCCAGGCAGAGACTACAGACTTCCATTTAGCACGATCCTGACACACCTCTCTCGCCTCCTTCACATCCATATACCTACGCATACATGCTCGTCGGTTAAGGGTGCTCCTAATTTGGCCCGTTTTCAATAAATCGCCAATTTGGATCGATAAATTTTCGCCTAGGACGTCCCTTTCCGACACTGCCATTCGCTTCTGCAACATAAATTTTCTTTGTCATTTACTTCTCATTCATTCTTTCCACATGACCAAACCACCGAAGCATTCCTTTCTTAATCCTGGTCACAACAACATCTTGTAAACCACACTCTTCTATTTTTATTTATTTGTATTGATAAAAAATATGATTGTAAACAGTTATTTTTATTGAAAAAATACCACTAGTTTCTTTCTGGTCCTTCCTAGGATAGAGGTATTTTTACCAGTGGTAATTAAACATAAGTGACAGTCAATAAGTATTATGAACCCGTAAAAATTTACGTCTAGAGCCTTTTCCATTTTAAGTAACTTTTCCGTTTTAAGTAAGTACATTTAGTATTTTTACGCATTTTCCTCTCGGCCGTTTAATATTATATGCCTGGCGGAGCTGAGATAGTTATACCGCCGTCTAGAAAGCCACAAGCTTATGGCATATCCCAAAGTCACCTCTTCGACAAACATGAGACGAAAAGGGGGAAACAGATTAACGCCATGGTAAAAATGTAAATAATTGATTGGTAATGAAACTACGTGGTAGATCCATGCTGTAGCTATATTAGTAGTAGAGTTGTAGCACATATAGGTCGGTTGGAGCGGTGAAGGACCACGCTTTTATAGAACACCAGCGTAAAATACTCTGTATCGTACGGTGAGTGTGGAGAACCGGAGACTCACTTCACTGGAAACGAGTCATTCTATCTTAGTCATCACGGGTGAGAACGCATCTGCATTTTGATTCATAATCGAGGATAGATGTAGATGTCTATAAGCCACAACAACTACTTACCATCAGGTTGACTGTGCGCTCGTTTGTCACACTTATATCTATATGGAATAATTTTGTATATATCGAATAAGTAAGTTTCTGTTTTTGTTTCTATTGAAGCGGTGCAAACTCACACAAATACATGAGACACTGCGAGAACCCGGCGACGGCGGTCTGCTGCGCGCGCGTGGAATAATATACGCGAGGCGAAGAGGTCACGGTCTCGCCGAAGTTGTCCCCGAACTGCTCCCCGCGCACCGCCCGCGGACCCCGCGCGCCCGCCGCCGGCTGCACCGCCGCAGCTTCGTCCGCCTCTAGTGCCTCCTCCACATCGCGGACCCCTTGTTTGCTATATCAAACGTCAACCCAGACATGTTTTCCATTTATTCATTAATATCAGCCTATCAAAAGTCCATTGCTGAACATAAGCTGCCCACTGTCTCATATCATTCCTTGGCAACCACACTTTTTTATTATTTATTGATATAAAGATAACTCAGCTGCCCGACTTCTGTTACATTTCCCTCCATTGCCTTAAACGATACCCATGGGTGACACTAGACTTATCACCTATTCACATCCGGCTCGAAAGACCATGTATATCTTAAACGGTGATATGACAGTAGATCATTTTATGACTATGAAATTAAGCACAAAGTCAATTCGGTCTCGGTTTGGTTAAACAACGGCTTAAACTGCTCAGGTTCAAAATATGTAAAAACAAAATTTATAAAGTAGTATTACTACTTTTGTTCTGCGTAACTGCCCGTTAAGGTCAGATACTCTTCCAACTATTTTTACCATCAAATAGCAGTGCTTGCTCTGTTGTGTTTTAATCTAAATGATAAAGTGTCCCAGACTATTTTATTATAGGCTGTCAGGCATTCCGTCCTAATTCTCAGAGGTAACAACGTATCTGTAGCCTACTTTCTTTAAAGTAGGCACTTGTGTCCATGAATTGCAGCCATTTACCATCAGATGTACTGTAAATTCATATGCCACCTCAATTTTAAAAAGATAACAAAAGAGAATTCGATAAAACCTAATTAAGTATTTAATATATGCCGTTGAATGAAATTAGTAAAAACTAAAAAGTCTATATTATCCCTTCCTTTTAAAATCGTTAAATTAGATACTATATCACCACAGCCTACAAATCTAAAATAATAAATAGTGGTAGAGCCACACGGCAGCTTTTGTTGTTGCACTTACGGGCCGGTTCAAACTGAGTACCGCTAGTAACCGCTGGTATTCTGTGAGGCCTTGGCACCACAGGCCTCACAGAATACCAGCGGCAAGTAGGAGCTCTGCTTCTGCGTTTCATGCAATGAAATGCAGGTGGTCGAAGACCCAATTCACCCCTGGTAATGGAGAATACCTTGCTGAGCATCCACCACCAAGCTACTCCACTCCTGAGCGTGGGTGCTCAGGCTGCCCCGCGTATTTTGGGGGAGCGCAAATTTCCGCTCAAAACGAAACCTGCTCGGGGCAAACTGAGAAAAAGACTAAGGCGACCTCTGCCACGCCTGCCGATCCGTGGATTTCTGTAACATCAGGAGGCTTCATTCGAACCTAAATGTCTACTATCATCTGGAGACGGCGAAGCCAGCCTTGCTCTTTCTAACCGAGACACAGGTCCTCTCCGGCTGATACTTCGTGTCTCTCCTACCCGGGGTACAAAATGGAGTACTCCTTTGTGCCTCGGGCTGGGGTTTGCGCATAGGTCAGAGAGGACGTTGTTCTCGGCGCCTCGGCAGTTTTCAAGGTTCGTACCTGTCCATCGTTTGGCTACGCGTAGACAGCGACGACTATCCGCGCGTCTATGGGTGCCTCTTTAGGTTCCATAGCAGTAATGCTGAAACAGACCGACTTATTGATCACGTCAAAATGGCTGCAGATTCCTTGCTACGGAAGTTCCCATCCGCTGAGATCGTGATCCTTGGCGATTTTAACAACCATCACGCCGATTGGCTCGGTTCACGTTTAACCTATCTCGGGAACCCCTGTTATGATTTTTTGGCACATAGTCTGACACAGCTGATCACTTCGCTTACGCGGATTTCCAGATGTGGAGGATCATGTACCTTCCCAGTTGGGCCTTCTGCTGACCTCTCATCCAGACGGAATCAAGTCGCCGTCAACGCCTCTCTTGGCTCCTCGGACCATTGCCTGATCCGGAGTGTGGTGCCACTCACGCTCACTCCGCGGTTGCGTTCTGTACGCTGTCGCCGTGATTGGCATTACAGGTCGGCGAATGGTACGGAATGCGGTCTCTCTTTGCATCCAAACCATGACGGCGGTTTGCTTCTCGCTGAATGATCACAGCGCTGTTGCTCTCACTGATGTGGTGCTACAGGGAATGGAACTATTTCTTTCATCATATATAGTACCGATCGGAGGCATATTCCAACCTTGGTTTATTGCTTCCTGTAAGACTACATTACTCAGTAAGCAGGAGTGTTATTAGGCCATTGGCTTCCGCTTTAACGGTTTGGGATGTAAACACCTGCAAGCTTAAAAATAAGTATAACTTCGCCTCCAAGTCCTTCAAAAGAGTTATGGCCAAGACAAAATATGAACACATTGACAGAATTAGCGAGTAATTGGTTGAGAGAACCCATGAATTCTGGTCTCTTGCCAAGGCTGTCCAAGATAATTTCTGTAAGCCATCACACATCTTTGCACAGGGAGGAAGACTCACTGGCTCAAAACGCGATCTTTCAGAAACTCTTTTTGCGCCCAACTCTACTCACGATGACGTGGATTCCTCCCGTGTGAGTGCTCTATACCTGATATGCGATTCACACAGTGCTCAGTACGTAAAGCACTTATCTCCCTGGACATCCACAAGTTGACTAGGCCTGACGAAACCCCTCGATTGTGCTGAAGACGTGTGCTCCAGAGTTGGTACCGGCTTTAACGCGTCTTTTCTGGTACACCTACTCCCGAGACGTAGTACCGAATTCATGGAAGACAGCTTTCGTACACCCGATCCCTAAAAAATGTAACCACTCTAATCAGTCCAACTAAAGGTCTATGGCCATCAACTCCTTATTCTCCTAAATAATGGAGTCTATTACTAACAGCCAGCTCATGCAGTACCTTGAGGAGCACCAGCTGATTAGTGACTGTCAGTATGGTTTCCGTAGGGGTCGCTCAGCTGGTTATCTTGTTTATCTAACACACCAATGGGCGCAGGCGATTGAATCCAAGGGGTGGGGGGGGGTCTGACCATTATTTTGGTCCTAGCGAAGGCCTTCGATCGGTTTTGGCACAAAGCGGTTCTTTTGAAGCTTATTTCTTTTGGGCTTCCCGAGAAATTGTGCAATTGGATCACCAGCTTTCTGTCTGATTGGAGCATCAAGGTCGTAGTTAACGGTGCATGTTCCGATTGCAAGCCTATTCAAGCTGGCATTCCACAAGGCTGCGTGCTATCACCAACGCACTGCACATCAATGATATGTTGCAAACCGATAACATTCATTGCTATGCGGATGACAGCACTGGTGATGCTTTATACACCGGCCTAGCCAATATTACTCGGGAAAACGTTGCCGAGTAGCGAAAGAACCTTGTACTGTGTCGTCGAGACATTGTCATTGACAAAGTCTCGGATTGGGGGCGACCAAATCTAGTCCAATTCAATCCCAAGAAGTCACAAGTTTGCGCGTTTACCGCTATAGAAAACCCCTTTGTCGTATCTCCTCAGTTTCATGGTACTTTCCTTGTTGCCTCCGCCAGTATCGGAATCCTCGGCGTCGATATATCAAAGAATGTGCGGTTTCGTGGTCACCTGGAATAGAAGGCCAAATTAGCCTTTCAAAAACTTGGCGTGCTCAGCAGAGCGGGACAGTATCTCATGTCGGCACACCGCCTACAACTTTACAAGGCGCCGGTTCGGTCACACACGGAATACTGTTCCCATCTCTGGGAAAAGGCTACACAGTGCCAGCTCCTTCCATTTGACCGCATCCAGCGTAGAGCGGCTTGAATCGTCGACGACCGTGTACTCTCCGATCGGCTTGATACAATGGCGCTACGAAGAGATGTTGCATCTCTCTTTGCATTTTCGAATAGATGCGATATTTATTACGGGGAGTGCTCTAAGGAATTGTTCGGGATTAATTCCAGCCGCCAAATTACATGAACGCACATCGCGCTAAAACTTACGATACGATACGATACGATTTGCCACGATTTTTCCGATTTGATACGACTTAGGGACCTTCAAGAAAAGAGCTTACTCCATTATAAAAGGCCGGCAACGCAATTCCTCATTGCGATTCCCCAGGTGTTCCAGTAGTTCATGGGTGGCAGTAGTCACTTTCCATGAGGTGAGCCGCATGCTCGTTTGCCGCTTCTATAAAAAAGTTAAAATAAAGAAAGAAACTAATCAATTAAACATTTCATTACTTACAGGGCTTGATATCGTTCCTTGTCCGTCGATACCAAAAAGTTCCTCAGGAAACTCTCCAGATGTTGACCTTTCTCTTTTCTTAGCTTATAGGCTACCGATTGGTAAATATTTCCTAAGTCTGGGCTATTTGCATTGAGTGTCGATGCTTGAACGACTAAAGAAAAGTCACTATCAACTGTGAGGAATAAGTACAGAAGCTCGCTGGTCTGAAGAAGGGGTTTTTGTAAAAGCGTTTGTAGGAAATCCTCGTATTTATATCGGAGAGTTTCTAAGGGACTGTTGTCTCTGAAAGAGGAAAAATAAGAAGTTATAAACTGAGGGTGGATATTCGGAATTCTTATATATTATTTTTCTTCCGATCTTCTCCCACGACTGTATACAGTCATTTATATAAAACATGATAAAAAGGCCCAAAATACTTATAGACATTACCAATAAAAATATAAACATCTTGTGTGAAATTACAGATACATTGGAATCTTGGCATGAAATAATTTCAAATTAAGTTAAAGACAAACATCCAATAGCAATGTTTTTGGAATGTTATCAAAAAAAGCCCAATACATCTGTCGTAGCAAAAAAAAAATATAAAATGACTGCAAATGTACATTAAAAGAGACGAATTTAACTAGCATATTAAATAACGTCTATTAACGCGAAATTCTTGTTGTTACATAATTGTCTGGACATATTGCAGAATTTAGAAATTACTTACGTAATTTAAAGCAAAGAAGTTTGATTTGATTTAAATGTAATACATAATACAATACGTACCTACATACAATACGTACTTGGGATGAAAATTCGGAAGAACAAACAAAAGTGCATTCCGAGTGTACTGGGTGACTTTTTTACCCTCTAGAAAATAATATGATGTTTTGTGTAAGTGGAATAGAAGCGAGGACAAAGATCCATGTTGTTATATTTTACAAACACGTGTTGTCTTAGTACTTTCCTTTTCGCAGACGTACGGCGCGGCGGGTGAGTCACAAATTCATAGTTTTATTGCCACTCGTAAAATTGGGTGCGTATGATTTGAATTTCGATAATTTTTAATTGACTTATTTATTTATTTCAAATTTGTTGTTTTTATTTTCTTAGCATGGAAAGTTTACTTCAAATTAGTAAAAATTATTGATAGATAAATTACATTATATGTTAAGAAAGAAAAAAAATGAAAAATATCAGTGCCATAGGCTTCTAGTCCGTTCATCTGTTACACCCTATTTTTTCCAGACCATAAAAAAGTCATTCAGTATAACACTCCGGACGGCGTGAATAAATGAACACGCGTTTCCGAGTCCCTATCAACCCTAGGGTGGATCAACGGAATAATCCTTTATAACGACGTCATCGTTCACTCTGCGGTGAAACACTCCGTGTTAAATCAGCACTTAAAATAGCAACTAACAAATTCAGTGCAGGCGATGGCGTCAGATGGCGTCACAGTGCACAGGTGTCAGTGACCCACCTGCGGGAGGGCAGCGCGAGGTCGGGCAGCGCGGCGCCGTGGAACTCGTGCAGTTTGGCGCGCAGCAGGTGGAAGTCGTGCTCGCTGCGCTCCACCGCCCACAGCGCGGCATCGGGACGCGCGCGGTGCACGGCCAGCGCAAACACGCGTACAGTGCCCCGCCGTGGCGCCACTTGCTAATTACACACAATGTCTCAATACACGCTCACTAATCACTTATACTTACCTAGTAGATCTTTCATTAAATAAAATTTTTTCCTAAGCATTAGGTACAGTACCCAGCTGCGGCGTCATTTTCTAATGGCACACAACGTTTCACTAAACGCTCACTTACGCATGCTTGGTAGATATCTCATTTCAAACAATTTTTTGCCGAAACCCGCCGCGGCGCTGCTTGCTGCACATACACCAAATACACGCTCTTCACTAAACGCTCAATTATGCATGCCTACAGTAAGCGACAGCTCGATATGGCAATCGGGTATGAGCTGAGGCGCGGGGAGGGGACACCCCGCATACATCGCCCGCGCCATCTTATGCTTCAGCCGCACCTGCGTGTATCGTCCCGAAGTAATGCGTGCCGAAGCTTCGTACGTTTTGACACTAAAAAGTTATCGCGATAAAAGCTGTGGTCATATTAGCGGCTTCGATATTTTTCATGAACTATCGTGCAATAATCCAAGATGGCCGAAATCATTTTCAAACGTTTAACTATGGACGACGAATTTCTTTACTTCTACATGTGTGCTAACAATTACACAATGCATTATAATAAAGATAATAATAGCTACTTTGCAACCATCCGCTCAATAAAATAAAATGTTGTGTCTTACCTAGTTTGAAGAGCACCTTCCACCCTCCCTCAATTGCGTGCGCTAATCCCGTCACCACTAGCCCCAGCACCACTACTCCCAACACCACTACTCCCAACACCACTACTCTAGGAAAGACACACCATCGAAGATAATACGAGACGTGTTTCATCTCTACACGAGGCATCTTCAGGTGATGTACACGACGGCGGCTAACCGCTTAGCGTTTCACCGCGTACCATTTCATTTTTCATCACTCCACTCCATTTTTACACAGCTACATGCATCTGAACTGATCTAAAACAACGGCCGAAATGAGCAACGCAAGTCTGACCAGGCAGCGCGATATTTTGGCGCGCTAAAACCCTTTGATGTACCGTCATCAGCACACGTACACGCAGCCCGAATTTTCGCGACGATAGCCGATGGTACCCGGTCACATCTGCGTGTACCGTGTCGCTTTATGGCGATAGACGCAGAATCGGATCCAGCATTATGCGAAGTCGCAATCACATCACTTCGATGTCGATAAACTCTCGCACTTCAAAACGTTTTATCGCGATGGACTTCGCGTGTGCGGCCACACTTCAGTCTGCCTACAGACACCGTGCGTAGCGGATGTGTTAAAGTAAGTTATCGTTTGGCGACATATTTTCGACAATGACAATTTCTTGAAGAAATGAGAAGATGAATAATTTTTGAGATATTTTGAATAAATAATGAAGGCGTCTAAAGCTCTCGCCTGTTCCCAAAAACCCAATGAAAACTTAATATTCGCTACCATATAATATAGACCCGCGATATTTGTTATTTTTTGCAAAGCGCAGTGTGGCCCAGGCTCCTTCCTACGCCGTAGGCCGAAGGCGAAGTTTTATCGCGAATCGCGATAGTTCTATACCGATGTGCGTAGTCCAGGTATTCGCGCTGTACGAGTCCACATCGACCGCATTTATCTATTTCGATCTCGCTCACATTATTCTTTGGTGTTGTGTATTAATTGACTTCGGTCGCTTCCTCGTCACGTGACGAAACAAAAAAAAAACACAGTAATTCATTCTTAAACACGAGAATTACCTAGAAAAGTATTAGAAAATTGTGACACTGAAAGAAAAAACAATTATTATAAATACTCTGTCTTTCAGGCATTTTATTATTGATTTCGCAGTATGTATTATACTTGTATAACAGACTGTTTTTCTTTATAGAATAAGAGTGACAAACGAGCACACAGACTACCCGATGGCATGTGAAAGCTGTGGCCCTTAAACATCTATATTTATCTTCGATTAAGAATTAACATGCAGATGCGTTGTTACCAAGTATAAATGAACATACTCAGCCTTCTAAAATCGTAACCATCGTTTTGGCTTCGCAGTAGTCGTGTAAAAATATTCACTTACACTATCCGCGTAAAAGAAAGGCAGTAATCGTTGTGTAATTGTAATTTGCTGCTGTTACCGAAATAATTTATGTAAAAAGACGCCATCTGTTCGTTCAGAAGGTTAATATAAAAAATTGTTATTACACATTAAAAACTCAGAAGTTCACTAAGATATCGATAGATGGCGTGATATATTAAACTTTATTTTAAATATTTGATTAAATTTATGCCTAAATGACGAATGACCTATTTTAAATTGTTGTAGAACTTACATCACTAGGGATAAGCTGTTAAAATGTTTGTTTTTTGTTACCGAAACATTTATTCAAACAGAACATCTTTATCAAATATGTATGTTAAACTAAGGTTAAGCTATTATTTTAATTTACAAAGTTTATGATGAATAATGGTTGCATAGTAATATTTATACAAATAAATTAGTGATGAAACCATTTTAAAGAAAACACCACATGAGTAATTAGGCTTATAGCCACCCACTAAACACCACACGTAGGAACTAGAAAAAGAATAAATTGTATTTTTTTTAATTTCAAATAGAAGTATTTTTTTAATTATATATTAATATTATTTGTTGTATTATAAATTGTTTGTTCATAGTTTCAGACATGAAGGAGATTAAAAACTTTATACGTAATATAAAAACGAAAAAAGTTGCATCGCCGTTAACTTAGCCTTTTGAATACTTGTAGACTCGGCAAATTATTCCAATTTTTTATATCAAAAAATCACCTTAACTACAAACCTGATTAAGGTTGCCTATTTCGACATATCGAATACAAGCAGAGTGGCGCAGTGGAAGCGTGCTGGGCCCATAACCCAGAGGTCCGTGGATCGAAACCACGCTCTGCTAAGTATTTTTTTAAACTTTTTTTTAACTCAATATAAAAAATATTGAAACTACGAACATATCAAACAAATGAATACAATTTTAATGATGATTAATATTTACTAGTTTCATATTATTGAAGAATATAAATACACTATAGTTTTAAATTTTCGCGTGAAAACGCTAGCCGCCACGATGCTCAACTTGTGACGTCACTGTCTTCGAATTTACCGATTTTGCAAAGGAACAAGATACTTTTTAACATTTAATTATGAGTTAAAATCTATATCATTGTTGTGTTGTGCCTGAATTCAAAAATACGAGCATAAGAACGCCGGGAAAGTTATGGGGAAGTTATGAATTCAAGTGCCAATGATTTAAATATACGAGTAAGAAATACCTGGTTAAAACAGGCAAGAAGATACCCGAATACATTGTCTACAAAAACTGGAGTATTATTCTGTGAAGATTATTTTGATGTAAGTTTGACTTATAATAAACTATCGTTTATACAAAACAAAACATCATGAGGTTAAGATATTGCAAGTCAAATTTTGTAATAAATTACGTTAACTTAGTAATTATAACAATAATAAATATATAGTTTGTAAAAACTAAATATAATAAAACTAAATATATTGTTTGTAATTAAAAATTTTACGCAATTGAAATAAATGAACGTGTTAATGTTTATGTAGGTGATAAATAAATGTGATAAATAAAGAAATAGGTCTAATTATTAACATTAAATATGTTTTAATATTATAACACAACATTAAAATAATATATTTTAACAATAAAACGAAAGATATGCATTAAATTCTAATTATTTATGACAGCAGTGGTGTTATTCCTTCCACCAAATCGTCGTCCTCAAACTTTCTAACATTATTTTAAATTGTAAATGATCGATTGTATTTAATTTTCATTTTTTATACTAGAGTCTCCAGTTTCCTCTCGGATTTGCTCTAATTGGTTGCAAATTCCAACCAATATTATTTTATCAGTATCACTAATTGTCGAATTTTTAATGTGGTGTAAGCTTTTAATAGTTTATTCCAAGTTTTTTGTAGTGTAAAAGTCGCTCCCGCTGTTGTGTTTTTACCTGTTTTAAATTACCAATAATCTAAATTGTCTTTTTTTAATAAAATAATTCACGTCGTACACCATTTTTCTAGCTTTCCTACTTTTTTGTCGGCATCTTTCACACTAAAAATGAAAATGTGATTATCGAACGTATAGAAACAATGATATTTTTTATATTATTTTTTTTTGTTTGGTTTTCCATTTGTTTTTTGTCATTGTTTGTTATCATTTTTTGACGGTAATTGTATTATTTACATTATTTGCTTGATTATAAAACAAACATACAGCGGATAATCTAATAGTGACAGTTCGACACAAAGAGTATATAATCGCTATGTTTATGGAGTAAGCTTTTGTATAAAGGACAGAATAAGCTGTGTTTGAAAACTAATTGTACATTATTAATCTTGTATTTCAAAACTTAATCGTATTCCTTTGGTTTTTTTTTTGTTTTTGTGTGATACCTTCTTGTTGCTATGTATAAAAGCCTAGAAAAATTTAAGTTCTTTTGTATCACACTGTTAAGAATATGTTCTTTATGCATTACTGTTTGTTTTGGTGAATTTTGTTGTCAAATAGTATCCATTAAGTTATCTTGTTAATTAAGTGACTAACTTAGTGATCAACTAACAGTAAACTTTTGTCTTATTATGCTTTGATCAAGTTGGTTAGTGTTAATTGCTTTTTTTTTAAATTCTTATTATCATTGTAAACTATAGATATTCCTATGCAATCAGTCAACTGTTGGGTGATGTATAATATGTATTGAGTCGTATTTTGTAGTTAGTCTAACAATAATAACATATTATTATATTATCTAATAACATATTATTATATTATATTTTTTATTTATTTAAAATTTATTATTCTTATATCTCTATTATTAATGTTAGATATGTCAGATGATGAATCTTTTTATTCTGCCCATGATTCAGATATCTCGTTCGAGTCTGGTAGTGATAGTATGCCCTCCCTCCGCGATAAGCTGATTAAAAAAAAAAATTCAATTTATTTACTCCTTGTAAAAACTTGCTTAATATATGTATGTTAATGCTCAAAGCATACCAAGTCATTATTTTTATTTTGAAGAAGTTTTTTCTATAGACTGTGTTCATGCAATCTTAGTTATCAGAAAGTTGGCTAAAGTCATCATTAATGTCCAGCTTATATCCTCTAAATGATTTTGTTCTTGTGCATAACAACCGAATTGATAAAGGAGGAGGTGGTGTTGCCATATACCTTAGAGCAAACATCCCTTATAAAATAATTTTAGCTTCTCCATCTGCGTATTCTGCCTCACCGGAGTTTCTGTTTCTGGAAATTGATATCAAAGGTGTAAAGGCAATTCTTGGGGTAGTATACTGTCCACCTGCTGTTAATTTTTTCGACGCTCTTGAAAGTGCCCTCACTTCCACTTCATCCGAGTACACACACTGCATAATAATGGGTGATTTCAATACTGATTTTTTGAGAAATTCTTCTCGTTCTCAAAAATTTCGGTCAATCATAGAGTCAGTCGATCTCCAAATTCTCCCCTTAGCCGCAACTCACCACAACAACACAACATTGACACTGATGACTCATGGATTGGTCATATTATTACGGCTTCTCCCGATTATGTCATTAAGCACGGACAACTTTCTCCTAAACTCAATCTCGTCGTACTATACATTCGTAATTTCTCTAGAATGGATTTTGATAAACTTAAAAGTGACGCCTATCGTATTGACTTAACCTCTTTATTTAAATCAACTTGTATTGACGATAAAGTCTCAATCCTTAATAATATAGTTCTTGGTCTGTACAACAAACACGCTCCCAAACATCAAGTTAGAGTGAAGTTTTCACCAGCCCCGTGGATGACTGAGGCCGTAAGGTTGGCAATGACTAGGCGAGATCGAGCATTTGTGAAATTTAAGAAGCATCGTACACAGGACAGCTGGGATCACTACAGAGTGCTAAGAAACAGATGCAATCAGATGGTACGAAATGCTAAGCGCCGTTATATCCATAGTAATATTGCAAACTCTTCAACCGCTGATGTGTGGAAATTTCTTAAAACACTAGGTATTAGTAAGGCCGTTACATCTGACCGTGGTCCATCAATCACTCTGGATGAAATAAATCATCACTTTATTTCTAGTTCTCCTTTGGATCCCACAGTTCGTTCGACAATAGCTTCCATTCAATCCATGCCATCTCCTCCTATTCCTTTTTTTCACTTCTTACCTGTGACTGAGGATGAGATACAGAAATCTGTACTAGCTATTAAATCCAAGGCTGTGGGTTGCGATGAGGTTAGTAAGGTTATGGTATCCATGATCCTTGAGTGCCTTTTGCCTGCAATCACACATATCATAAACTATTCCCTTGACTCAGGTCAATATCCTACTCAGTGGAAAAAAGCATTTGTGCGACCACTTCCTAAAATACCTAATCCCTCATTACCTACCCATTTCCGACCAATTTCAATATTGCCATACCTATCTAAAGTTCTGGAAGTCTGTGTTCACAAGCAAATCTCTATGTTCATAACCAAACACAATCTGCTGAATAAATATCAGTCAGGCTTTCGTGGAGGTCCACAGTACTACCACTGCATTGATAAAAGTTACAGATGATATTAGAATGGGAATGGATGAGCAAAAGCTTACGGTGGTAGTGCTTGTTGACTTTTCAAATGCTTTTAACACAGTCGATCACGATATCCTTATAGCCTTCCTAACTAATCTTAGATTCCCAATCCCAGCTTTGGAATGGTTTTCATCCTATCTTCGCGGCCGCCAGCAATCAGTACGATTAGGACAAGAGTTCTCAAGATGGGTTGACATTGAAACAGGCGTGCCGCAAGGCGGAATACTTTCTCCTTTAATGTTTTCTTTATTCATAAATTCTATCACTTCAGTTCTCAACTGTTCGTACCATATGTATGCAGATGATCTTCATCTCTATGTGCAATCTAGTGTTAACGACCTACTTTTTCCTTTAATGTTTTCTTTATTCATAAATTCTATCACTTCAGTTCTCAACTGTTCGTACCATTTGTATGCAGATGATCTTCAGCTCTATGTGCAATCTAGTGTTAACGACCTTAATGATAATATTCATTAACTCAACCAGAACCTCGATGCCATAAGAGATTGGTCGTACAGACATGGTGTTTTGGTTAACACAACCAAATGGAAAGCAATGGTTATAGGTAGTAGCAGAATGTTAGCTAAGATTTAATAACGATAACCTTGCTCCCGTATTTTAAAATGGCATGTTGTTGCCATTTTGTAAGTCTGTCAAAAAATCTTGGCTTACATATAGACCATACCTTAAGCTGGGAAGTTCAAGTTGCCGAAACAAGCCGTAAAGTAACTGCCACCTTACGTTCTCTTTGTCGTTTCAAAACTTTCCGCCTTTTAAAACTAAACTTCTGCTAATCCAGACTTTGATATTACCCATTATTGATTATGCGGATGTCTCAATATCTTCTCGATAAGTTGGAGCGCCTTCTCAACAATTGCATTAGATTCACTTTCGGCTTACGTAAGTATGACCATACTTCCCAGTACCGATCTAAGCTTAAATGGCTATCTATTCGTCAAAGGCGTAGCTCCCGAACTTAGCAAGTACTACATTCAATTTTAAATGACCCCAATTCTCCCTCTTATCTTAAGGATAACTTTCAATATTTGTATTCTACTAACGATAGAGTTCCCCGTTCCCAAAATTGTCTTAATATTCGTATTCCACCACATAGGAGTGGTTTCTTTAATTCCTCTTTTACTGTGCAGTCCATACTGCTCTGGAACGCCTTGCCTGTTTATATCAAGAAAACTACAAACAAGAATTATTTTAAAAGGCTAGTTCGAGAATTCTGTCGTAAGAATAATACCACCTGACTATCCGACTATTGTTTTTGTGTTTTTTTTTTTCTTTCACTTTATAAGTAATATTTTGTATAATGTATTTTAATATGTATTGTGTTATTTTATTTTTGTCTCATAATATTTTATTTACTTACAGTTTTGTATAGAAGTACCCGTTTATATATTTATTATTTATCCTATATTATGTATTAAGTAAGTATGTATATTTTACTAACTATATATCTATTCTATTCATTTGCATTTTATTTTGTTTTATATCATTATTATTTATTTATGAAGTGATTGATTACACCTGCCACAGTTTCTCAAATCATCCAGGGTTAACTGGCAGAGAATGCCATAAGGCACTAAGTCCGTCCTTTATATACCTTAGTATATAAGGTGTATAATGAAGATTAAATAAATAAATAAATAAATATGCGCGACTGTACTCTAAGGGCTTTACGATAAGGGACGTATGTACGGAGAAAGGCGTGAGGAAGGCGACTGAGCGACCAATAGAACGCCGCTACGAACGTCTCTCCCTTCGCGCCTCACCCCTTTCGATAAACAGATCTAAAAATCGACTTCTGCGCATTCAAAGTCAGCTAAATCACCAAACATTCGTTAAAGTGATACTCATAGTGTCCACTGTATTGAAATGTACGAATTGAGTAGCGCCATGTCTTTCATGATTTTACTATTGAAAGTGTATTATTTTATTTATGGGTTAAATTTACTTGCATAGCGCTATGTTTTTGAGGCACTGTAGTGTTAGTTCCAATTATAGGAAACAGAAAACTTAATAAAATGTTTTTGGAATCAAACAAAGAAACATTACATTACTATTAAATAAATCCAAATAGTAGATCTCCTGTCACTCATTTTTATGTATTCATATAATTATCAATTTTCACTAAGAATAACACAACAAAACACTTTTTTACTCACAAAAATAGGCAAAACATACGCATGTGCCGGTTTATTATAATTGGTTAGGTACTGAGGTGATCAAGCCGAATAATGTTCGGCCGAATATTCGGTCCGGTAAAAGTTTTACCGAACCTTCGGCCGAATATTCGTATTCGGTGAAATCCATATTCGGCCCATCTCTAGTGTGTAATCACATCCTTACGAAAGAGTTTGTACGTATAGTTGTAAGTATTCGTCTTCACCAGATTTGCTGGTCAACTAATCATAACTTGGCCGACCGCGCAACACAACGCACGTATCATTTTCATAGAGTGCGTTAGAAACATATCCTTGGATTTATTTTTGTTTGACAGCTGTCTCAGTACGCACATATGTGTTGTGAGTCTTGGTGGCGCTTTGTAAATACTTTCAAACGTTTTGAATTTTGGAGGGGCGGACCTGTTGGTCTCTACACAGAATTAACAAATAAATATCAATATAAAACTTACAAGTCGGGTCTCCACATCGGTCAACACAACCTTATAGTTGCTGAGATCGTGTTCGCCCATGCTGTCTTCAGCCGCGATGGAGTCCAGATATTTTAAAATGTCAACATTTTCCATTCCCTCCTCGTCTTGAAGTTCCGAGTTTGTGGAGCTGTCGAGGATTTGTCCATCTATGGTCTGAGATTTTAGGGCACCTTTTAAACGACTGCCTATTTTCATAGCTGCATTAAATAATTTATCTTGTGGCCTGAAAAGAAAAACGTTTTTGATGTATTATTTTATTATGTAATGAGAACAATTTTCTAAAATTTCAGAGCTTTTACTTTTAAGGAGTTCCTGGTTAATTTTTACCTCGAATATCTCGAGAACTTTCGGTGTGGTGGTGGCATAAGAATATCCATAACCTTCCCATTTCGCCCCGTGGGTGTCATAAGCGGTGACTATGCGAAATGCTAGAAAAAACTTATGCATACCAATAAATGGCGATATATAGCCTCAAATGTGAGAGACGTCTGGAACTGTGGTCACCAATCCGCCTTTCAAAAACAAATCTTCCTTTAGATGAGAGGTCCACTCCCAGCAGTGGGCTAAGCTGTCATCCACTTACATCATATAATATCTAAATTAAAAATAATTATATAAACATCGAACTTATATAATTCGATGCACAGTTATGTAATTAAAACTTGATTAAGAGCGCATATTCAAATATGTCCAAGTCGAAATCTACGCGATCGCTTTGGAACGGCGTAATAATGACGCACACTACAATGTTATCTCTGTGTGCGTGTCAGGGCGAGCGTGAGGCTATAATAGTTGCCTAACGACGACTACGAATCACTTTGATCGTTGATTATATACCTGTCTTTGATACTGTTGGAACTAAAATAATAAAAAAATTATTTCCATATAATGGCTTACTTATATAGTGTATAGAAATCGGAGGCTAATATGTGGAAATTGTTTTAGGTATTCTTTTAGTAAATTGAAGTCGGCTTTACATTTTCACCCTATTGAGTATATTATAATATGTATATGTTCTAATTGAAAAATATGTATTGTATAAAATATATATCATTTGATAAACTTTTATTCTGTTTCATAATGTAACATAATTCATCAAACTAACAATTTCATCAGTGTCGGCGGGGATTACTGTTGCCAGGTCTAGCAAGTAAAATTTCGGGACGGAAGGTAAAAATAATCGGGGATTTGGTTTCCATATCCGGACAACTAGAATGACTACAAAATATAGGTTTCTTTGTAGCCTTTTGTGCTTTATTGAGAGCCGTGGTAGCTCAGATGGTCAACGCTAACTGTAAATATGCGAAGATGAAGAAGATGCTGTAAAAATGCGAGTAATGCGAGAAATTGTGACTGTAACTTTACTTTTGTGCTTTATAATTATTATTCGAGTCTGATCTCATGAACGAATAACTTTTCATCCAAACATCGTAAAAACTGGTTTTTTTCATTTTAGGCAAATTAAAACATTTTTGAACTACTTGTTTTTTTTTTTTTGCAGTCCCTGAATTTTTAAAATAACTCATTTTAATATAATTATTTTTAAAACTTTTGTGGTTTTTTTTCGACTGGTGAGACAATGTCGTAGTAAAAATATTTTAATGTGGTAGTAGCTAACAGATATAATCATTTTTGTTGTCAAAATTATGGATTAAAGTATAGAATAAGGTTAGTGAAAATCGGGACATTTGGCGTCCCGATCAATGATGAATCGGGACGTGTCACTAGACCTTTGAAAATCGGGACGTCCCGCGCAAATCGGGACACCTGGCAACACTAGCGGGGATCGAGCCCGGATTGTTCGCGTTTACGGGAAGCACGGCTCATATGTTTTATATCTGGGGGCACGGTAGTGCCCCCGCCATGTAGACCAAAACAGCGGCACGGCCGTATCATCATTGCGAGACTTGGTTATTTTACAAGTTATGTTTTGATGGCATGTCTTTGTTTAATCATAACGTTATCTCCACACTAGGAATTTTTCCTAAGTACATACATCGTTGGGGCAGTTTAAATACATTAATTTCACAAGGACAAACATCCAGACCTGGAACAATTATTTGTAGGTAATACAAATTTTTGTTCCATGTGGGATTCGAACCTGCGGCGCTCAGCGCTACAAATCATTACCAAGTCACTCCGCCACGGAGCCAAAGGTGAAAGCAAACGATTTTGTATTTTTCCTTGATCCGAATTGCTTACGTTCAATTACTCATTTCTAAAAAAAATATGTATGAAATGAAAATTTGCCACCATTACATCATTTAATATTTAAATATTACAATCATAAACATATTTCAAAATTACTTACTACCAAAAATATCGCTTATAAAAGTGAATCGTTTAAAATGCTCGATGGTGCTATAGGTGTCTAGTTATAGTATGGTGTAGTATAGCCCTATCGGTGTATCAACGCGATCGCGCGGTGTCGGTGAGAAAAAGTGATACGTCCTGTCGTTGGGATTATTCGGAGCGTACTAAATCGAACTGCGTCTGCGCATGATGTTTTATAGTATTTTTAAAATAATTATATAAAATAATTGACAAAATAAAACGAGCTAAAATTTTTTTTGGATATTTAACATTACATGTATTTTGATAAAATAATTAAAATAGATATGTTTATAAGCAAATACATGGAAAAAATTACATTGAAGTAGACAGTTTTGGTGATTTTATAATATTATTTTATAATATTAAATCGAAATATTATCGTAATTTAGGTTTTGCTATACCCTAAAAGACTATATATTTCATTATAATAACGCTTAAAATAAAGTATTTTAGCTTATAATAATGGTTGTATTCAACCTGAAAGATAACTCTGATGCATATTTTCGTAAAACACAGTGAAGGGATTGTCTTCGCCCTAAAAAACCGTCATTAAAAACTATGATTTTGCACTGCTATGTACTAAATAAATACTTCATCTTTCTAAAGCCCTAATTTTCAGCAAATAATCTACTAACGTCGTTACGATATCGCCTTTGGAAAAACCATAAAACATGTAGTTTTCGACGCGAAACGCATATGCCCTCTTAAGTTGTCATAAACATCGGTTCAGCAGTTTATATATTATTATGAATAAATTAACTAAATAAATGACTAACAGAATTTTATATTTGATAAAATCTTATTTATTAACCCAGATTCTGAATATAAGTAGATTTGTTTTTATTTGACATTCCAAATTTCCTACTTTTTGTCCATTTATACTGGGAAGTTTATAATGCTGGGCTACACAGGTTACTCTTATTTTTATTGTCATATAATTTTACGCTTATTACCATGGAAGAGGCCCACTCGTTTGTAATGGAATGATGTTAATAATAGGTCTTTACCTACGAAATTGCCGTTCTACAGTCAGCGTTGCCGTTTTAGCGCCTTTTACGCTAGATCTAGTGCAATTCTAGGGTCTATAGCGCTTTTTTTTAAAATATCTAAACGCTAAAAATATCTAGTGGAATCTGGTGGAAAATTTTATATTAGTTGGCAGGCCAGTGTAAAAAAACACTAGCTAATCTATCGTTCGGGTATTCCCCGAACAAAATGTGGTTGATGGGTTTGTTTTGTCTAGCTTTTGCATTATGGTTGTAGGGACACATTATAGGTATCTATAATATACTAGCTCTTTAGATTGCGTGTCCGGTGACCTACATCATGCCCATACTTATTTAACAGCTATACCTATGTATGTGTAATGCATGTGTGTGTGTATAATAGATATAGGGTGGCGGCTGCGTCCGCCACGCGGAGTTGCAAATATATCACCGTTTACTCGCACGTGTCTTCATTTATTGCAACCTTCATTGTACACCTTAATGGACTTAAGTAAATTAATTAATTAAATACAGTACCCATAAAACTGTACAATGGTATTATGTAGTTACTTTACTTTTCATTATATTAATCCTCTCAGCTGCTTTATAACCCGACAAGAACTGGTGGTCTTCACTTTCGAGTTTCGTGTTAGCTTTTTAGCTCAGTTTTGTTTGTTTAGTGAACATTTTAAATGGAAGTGCCAACGGCAAAGAAGGCCTATATAGCCCAAAATAGAGATCTGAGTGAGAGCAAATGTCATGGAATTCATTTGGTCAAATGAGAAGGGGATGGTGATGATATAGTGAAATTTTGGGCTCAAGTCTCCAGATACAAAAATGCGGCTAGGATGAATGCCTTTCGGAAATTGGTGGACTTAGCTATAAGCGTGCTGTCTCTTCTACATTCAAACGCCGAAGTATAGTCGATATTCAGCGTTATGAACGTTGCCAAAAGTTAGCTACATAAGCGAGTGTCAGTTGAGACAGCGAACTCAAATATAATTATACGTCATCAATAAAAAAAATCTTAAGCAAAGCTACACATAAAAACTTAGGTTCCTGAAAATATCCTCGAAAAATTACCAAAAGACCAAAGCCAACGTCATAGTTAGCCCAGCTACGGACGGGACGTCATTACACCTCAGTCCCCCCTATGACCATGGGTCAAAAACACCCGAAACGTCGAGAATTAAAAAGTTTTAAACGCAAAAAAAAATCCATAAAAATTAGTTTCATTTAAAATTATTAAACTAACTTTAATGCTGTTTGTGACAGATTATGAGAGCTAAATGAATTCGCATTTAATGACTTGCAACAAAAGTAAAAGAATGAGGCAAAAATATAGTTGCCTTTCTTTGGAAGGACTATTACTTCAAATTGGCATATAAAGTAGCTGACATATGTCCCACTGCTGGATATAGGTTTCCCCGTTCAGTTGTAAGGGTTTCAGGGCAGCGAAGTCGCCGCGCTGCGAGACTTCTCATTACTTTTGTTCCTTTTTATTTCCTCACGATGCTTTTCCCCACCACTGAACACATAGTGAACCAGCAATTAAAATTGTAATTGACTCTTTCAACGATGCCGGCGAGGACAGAACTCTGCTTGTGTACTTACTAAATTTTAAAAGCATTCGATTATTACCTAACTGCGACGGCTCAATTTTGTATATAAAATTTCAATTTTAATATAAAAAACAGTAATTACCTCTTAATCATGTGTTTCTGATAGCCAGTAGGAACTCGGGAACCAATCATCAGCTTGTAAAACTGTAAACAAAATAAATTCTTATTTAATTTAATTAATACTATTAGTTTACCTTCATCTATCATAATTGTCTTTCTAACAAATCTCACATTCATATCATGACATAATGAAAAAAAACAACTTAGTTGTCAAATATAAACCGATAAACAATTCCCATCAAACAACTGTACTGCTAATCATTTCATAACATTTCTCTCTCATTTCATAACAACTCACGCCTGTCACCCAGAGGGGTAGGCAGAGATGCACTTCCATTTGGCATGATCGTGACATACCTCTCTCACCTCCTTAACGTCCATATACCTACGCGTACACGCTCTTCGGTTAAGGGTACTCCTAATCTGGCCCATTTTCAAAATATCTCCAATTTTTGTTCGATAAACCTTCGTGTTAGGCGACCCTTCCCGACTCTACTGCAATGCAATCTGATGAAATCAAATCTGCAATATAAATTTGCTTTGTCACTCTTTCCTCGTTCATTCTTTCTACATGACCAAACCACCAATCATTTCATTTATACTTAGACTTCCAATCTCATTTAATAAAATGATATATCACAGTTATAATCTAAAACAACCCAAAAATGCAAAAATCTAAGAGGTATAACCATTTCGTATTAATGACAGATGTAAAATGCCAAAATCGACTATAGGAAAGAGTGAGGTGAACACATCAGAAACTGTTAATTCCAATTCACCTAACAAGGCCATGTTTAATCCCTTCTACTGCAGAAGAGGCCATGTTCAGCAGCACATATTTTTTAAAGTATTCTAAGCCATTGCTTGACTCCCATCCCATCTGATCGTAAGTAGTGATGAAGCTAAAGATGATAAAGCGCACTAATTTAGTTTAACAAAGGCCTATTCACTCTAGTCTTGAAGACACCCATTTGTATACGCAAGGTTTTTTTTGTTATTAAATTAAATATAATCTTATGAAGACTACAGTTTGTCATATTCAAAGATTTAGTTAAAAGTTAAAGTTACAGTCTATATACGTCCCACAGCTGGGCACAGGCCAACGGTCTCCGCTCATTACTGAGAGGGCAAGGAATTGTCCGCTGCGCTGAATCAATAATGCGTGTTGGCGAACTTCACATGTCTTAGAAATATTTTTTTCCTTATTTCTCAGAACATGCAGGTTTCCTCACGTTGTTTTCCTTCACCGCCGAGCACGTGGTAAATCAGCACTTAAAATTGCAATTAACAATTTCATTGGTGCCAGCGGAAATCGAACCCGGTTTGCTCGCGTACTGTGAAATTTACAGCGAGCGCTAACCATCTGAACTACCACAGCTCAAAGATTTATTATTATTCTATTTGGGGGCACTTGTTTACTTTGTTAATTAGTAAAGTAAATTGAATGTAGGTAATTTAACAGGTTCCCTGATATAGACACATTAAACAATCGTAATGTTCATATTTGACTCATGGGACACTGGCAATATTTAATCTCTGTTAGTTAGTTAGTTAGTTTACGACGGGCTGTTTTCTGCAACTCTACGTCTAAGCGCGTATTTTGTGTGTGGACAGGAAGCTTAGGAAGCGTGGGAAGGAAGCAAATTTAACCTCTGTTTTATTATTCTATATTCTGAACGTATTACAAAGGTTGCTATGGTAACCGTGGAAATGTTATACTTCTCAGTTCCTTACAGACGCTCCAAAGAGACGGCTGAGCTATCTATGCTTGGCAAGATTGTGGTAAAATAACTAACCTCTTCACTATGTAGGAACCTTGGTAATATGATCTTCTCTAAAGCGGCATGAGACAGTCTCGCTGCTTGATATAGGGCTCGACTTGTCTGTAACCTGAAAAATTAATTATTTCCATTAGTACGAGGGTGGATTGAAAGGTACTCGGCCTAACCAAGAAAATAAACACATACTAAATCAGTTATATTTTTATTTTTCTACATAATCACCATCAAGTTCAATACACTTTTGCCACCTCCCCTTCCAAGCATTTAGACCGTTGAAAAAAAATGATTCTTCCTTAGAGTCAAAATATGCGTCTACAGCTGCTTTGACCTCGTCGTTTGTCGAAAATCTTTGACCTCCCAAGTGCTTTTTTAGGTTAGGGAACAGAAAGAAGTCTGATGGTGCCAGATCAGGTGAATATGGCGGATGCGGTAACAGTTCAAAGCCACAGTTGTGAATTTCAGGCATTGACTGTGTACTGACGTGTGAAAACGGGTGTTATCTTGATGAAACAGGACTTTTCTTCTGAGCATTCCTCGACGTTTTTCTTTTATTTCTTCTCGTAAACGACGTAGTAAGGTTCAGTAGTAATCAGAGTTTATAGTCTGACCCCTTTCAAGATAATCAATCATAATCACACCTTTCGAGTCCCAGAATACTGAAGCCATCACCTTATTTGCCGACAAAATCGACTTAGCCTTTTTTAGGGGGTGGTGAACCAGGTCTTCTCCACTGTTTTGATTGTTGTTTTGTTTCCGGTGTACAGTAATGAACCCATGTTTCGTCCATAGTAACAAAACGATTCAAAAAATCATCTGCATCGGCTTCAAATAACTCCAAACAGTCGCGTGAAATAGTCAATCGCGTCCTTTTTTTGTTCAATTGAAAGTAGTCGCGGAACCCACCTCGCAGACACCTTGTGGAAACCCAACTCGTTGACAATGATGTTTTGAGTTCATTCATAAGAGATGCCTATAATCTCGGCTATCTCTCTAATTTTTAATCTGCGGTCTCCCATTATTAAATCAAGTACTTTTTTAATATTTTCCTCAGTAGTTGACGTCGAAGGCCTTCCAGAGCGGGGTTCATCTTTCACACTCTCTCTATCACGCTTAAATTCTGCTATCCATTTTTTGACGGATGAATATGACAGAGCACAATCGCCTAATGTACTGACCATGTCATCATGGATGGCTTTTGATGATAGCCCCTTCTTATGGAGGTACTTAATGACGGCACGCTGCTCGATTTGCTCCATTCGCGGAAATTATGTCCGATTACTTTGTTAATAAATTTATAAAAACACAACTAATTATCGCACACGTTTCGAACTTCACACAATGAACTAGTCTGAACTGAACTAAATAATGTGGGTAGATTTGATTTTTAGAATTGAATGGATCTGTGTTAGGCCGAGTACTTTTCAATCCACCCTCGTACTTGAACAGTTTCACAACTTGTGTAATGAATATCATTACCGATTTTTCCGCACTGATACGACTTAGGGACCTTCAAGAAAAGAGCCTACTCTTTTTTCAAATGCCTGCAACGCATCTGCAATTCCCTACGGTAGTCACTTACCATCAGGTAATCCACATGCTCGTTTGTCCATCTTATATAAAAAAAAAATTGTTGAAAAATGGGATTGTGACCTACAGAAATTAAAATTTTAATACATTTAATTTCAATGTACGATAGAAAGGGATATGCTGAAAGGGAATTTATTTTCGGGATAAAGTCCGTAATAAGGTTATATGTAGAAGAACAAGAGTAACTGACAGCCCAGTGGATCTGAACTGATTTTTACCAGGTCTGCTGAGGAGTCTATCTGATTTGGTGGCGAGGTATTGTTCTTCCGATCTGATTTTTACCAGGTCTGCTGAGGAGTCTATCTGAATTGGTGGCGAGGTATTGTTCTTCCGATCTGATTTTTACCAGGTCTGCTGAGGAGTCTATCTGAATTGGTGGCGAGGTATTGTTCTTCCGATCTGATTTTTACCAGGTCTGCTGAGGAGTCTATCTGAATTGGTGGCGAGGTATCATTCTTCCTGAATTTTTTTTATCCAAAAGTATTTATAACCAGCTTCCTTTGCTCGTTGCTTAGACGTGACTAGTTTAAGAGTTTAAAATTTTGTTTTCCTTTGTCAAATGCTCGTTAATGTAAATTTTACTATCCTCACATCCAATCCCAACGTCCCTAGCTGATATATTACGATGTTTTCGGGCTGCAGCCAAAAACTGATCCTTAATAAAATGATGTTGGAGTCTTACGATTATCCGTATTGGGATGCACTTACTTTTCGTCGCGGCTGTACCCGGTGGGCAAAATCTACGTCAGTAATCTGGATGGTAGCGCCAATGTTTTGTGTAATCTTCATCACAGTCTCAGATACATTTTCATTCTTATTTTCAGGAACTCCAACAATCTCCAAATTTTGCAGCCTTAGCCATTGTTGCTGTTTCAAGTTCTTTTATTCAAGCAATTTTACTTTCGTAGAAAAAGTACCTACTTAAATTTTCCTTTAAGCTTTTGTTCTCCTTCTTTAGGCAGAAGTTTTTTCAGATCGGTGATTTCTTTTCTAAGGTCATCATATTGATTACTTACATACTTTATTGATTCTTGAAAGTATGTGTATTGAGTATTCAAGGCCTTCAGATGATCAGATAGAGTATTCATATACGAATCATAGGCGAAAATTTCTGCCTGGAAGATAGAGGTGAAGCTACCCAAATTCATACTAAGTTTGAATTTGGGGCGTTCCGCGTAAATTCCAAAGCCTATGTCAGAACCCATTTTAGACCCATCGATAAACCATATGAGGCTACCGACCTCACAGATAACCTGGCCATACAGCCAGTTTTCTCTTGGAGGGTAGTTCCATTATACATCTTCTTTTGACTTTGGCTGTCTTCATAATTACACTACTTCCGTTAGACAAGTAATCACTCTCGCATTCTGAAGCCTTGGTCGTTGTGGTTGCATGCTTTGGCCGGGCAGATGAGCAAAAAGGTGTGTTGGTGTTGTCTACTTTTGGTCGCTTACTCTTGCATTCAAGACATCTCCAATTTAGTTTTGCATCTTTTTTCATCGACTATTTCTTTGGCGAAAGATTAGCACACTGAAGGTTATAAAATTTGACCAGGGCAACACATAAAATCTTTGTTTTGTATTACAGCTCTATAACCACTGTATTCGATGACATCCATTTCCACATACACTATGCTTAAATTATTAGTATATAATACAATTTTGTTTGAGCCCTTTACAAATATCTTTCAATAAAATATTTGCACTTCTCAATATCGCATGAACAATAATTGTAATGCATCGATGGCCACGACCAATCAGCGACAAGCAACTCACAGCTAGCGCAATGCGAGTTGTCGCAGGTCAAGGTGGCGACCGGTAGTTAAAATTTTACCAATTAATTTTGCCTAATAATTACCCACTTCTTACTACATGGAAATCAAAATAACACCACTTTATAGGTTATTAAATAAGCTTCAAAACAATATATAACGCAATATTAGAAAAATACTTAAGACAAGTTTTCAATTAATATTAACACGTGATACTTTCAAGATGTTGAGTTATGACGGTTGGCAGGTAGAATGGTAAATCTTCATACAATAAACTGATAAAATATGCTCCTAAACCACATGTTCCAGACTCTCTCCCGTCCACATGGACCCCAGCCTTACCTATGCACATCGGCGGTGTCCAGCTCGGCGAGCAATTCATCGAGCAGCTCGGGTGGAAGCTGGCGCAATGCGTCCCCACACTGAGAACTTAATTCCCGAGCTGCTCGTCGCACTTGCTCGCGTTCTACTGCACTCAGTTCCGGGTTTAGGAGGGTAGTTTGAAACAACTCTGGAAACAGCCAATTTCCAAGACTTAATAGATAAAGATAATTCTTGATTTAGGGGAAAAAAATTACCATGATATGCCAAAATTATTCAACACATTTTTTGTAAGATAACTTTTAGGATATTGCTGCGTGCCTAAGTCGACATCATGTACCTGGCACTAGCGCCATCTAGTGTCAGGGACGAGAGCGAGGGGAGCTTTCCAGAAAATGACATCACTAATCTTTCAACCGACAGCGCCATCTAGTCTCGAAACTAAGAACTAAGCTTCTAGAAGCTGACACTCGAACTCTCGTTGCCTTGCGCGTAATTACTTGAATATTCTGGATGTTTCGGTGTTAATTTGTATTTATAGGCGCTGCAAGATGCGATCGGGGAAGTATTGAATTTGGCGAGACAAACGAAGCTTCGGAGCGAAATAAAGTGAATCAGTGTGATTAATTATTGGTGTTTTAAGTTTTAATTTGTGTAAAGAAAATTAAAGTGTTAATTTAGGTAATTCCATCGGCAATTTTTATTGTCATGAACCTCAAGCTCGTAACAATTTGGTGTCAGAAGTGGGATCATGTTGGATTACTGAAGAGGCGCACTCAACTGACGTGCGGTGAACCAACATTTATTAACCAGCTTGGTCGACAAGCTTCCCTCGAGGCTGACCCCAAAAAGTTAACTTGCTGTTTGAATAGTGAACATTTCTTCGGACTCAACTTGAGGTTGGCACTCTGAATCTGCATGAGCACGCGTTCCAGGTTTTGAAGGTGTTCCTCAAACGTCCGGCCTACGATGATGATGTCATCCAAGTAGACCAGACAGGCATCGCCAATTAGCCCGGTAAGTACAAGTTTCATCAGCCTTTCAAACGTTGCTGGAGCATTGCACAACCCAAACGGCATTACTTTAAATTGCCACAGACCCTTTCACGTCGAGAACGCAGTTTTCTCCTTATCCTTAGGGTCAATTTCAACTTGCCAGTAGCCACTTTTTAGATCCAGCGTGCTAAACCACTTTACTTCTGTAAGCATGTCCAGCGTGTCATCAATTCTTGGCAAGGGATAGCTGTCCTTCTTCGTAACGTCATTTAGACGGCGGTAGTCAATACAAAACCGCATGCTGCCATCCTTCTTCTTCACCAGCACCACTGGTGAACACCATGGACTAGAGGAAGGTTCAATAACACCATCCTTCACCATTCCCTCAATCGGAAGGAAGTGGAAACCATCCACTTCCTTTTCATGTGCTACCGGCAATCTTCTTGGCCGCTGACGGATAGGCAATTCTTCTCCCGTGTTTATTTTGTGTTGAACTAAGCCAGTCTTTCCTATGTCAGCATCGTTTGATGAGAATACATCGGCGTACTTGAGTAACAACTTCTTCGCCTTGACCAATTCGGTCGGGGAGAGAACGCTGCGACAGTCTTCCAAAAGTGTGGTCACTCTCGTTTGTGCATCTTTGTTGGGGGGTCTCACTCGATAGATATTGGCACCGCCGTAACCATTCCACTTCCTCACAAGTACCAACCAGCGTGCCTTTTTCTATAATCTGTTCCCGGTCACAAAGGTTCAGCACACGTACTCCTGAGATGTCAGTGGTTCTGACCAAGGTTCTAGCTACTTTCCATGGAGGGTCATTGTTTACCCTTTCCACAAGTACACAACGGTGAGCTTGCCCATCGTTTCGGGGAAGACTAACCGGAACAATCGTTTCCGATCTCGGCGGAAGAACAATCTTCTTAATGCTGTACACGTTCCCTGGTAACGCACCTTAAATAAAAAGTCCTCCTGTCCACATTTCAAAACACATTGCTTAACGTCGTTCTCACAACAATTATTCCTCATAAAGTCTAGGCCTAGGATGCAGTCGTCCATTATATCAGTCACGATGAGATTATGCAGGTAGATCATGTTGCCTAGCTTCAACTCCATCTCCTCTCCACGGACGGGTATACGCTGACTGGTGGCTGTTACCAAATTAATGCGTTCTCAGTTGTATGCGGAGTCCCCAAGGAACTGACTTATAAGTTGGGAACTAACAACCGTACGAGAGGCTCCAGTGTCTATGGTCAGTTTACACGGCATTCCGTTGACCTCGCCCTTGATGATTAGACTGTTCCCATCATGGGTTTGTGAGATCGAGATCCTTGGGGCTCTTTTAACATCAGCCAGCACCCGTCCCGCAGTTCTGGCTTTTACTCATTTCCCTGCTGCTGCTGGGCGGTGCTGTTGGCCGCACTACCCTCCTGAGATCGTTCACCTTCCCTTTCTAGGGTTCGCTTAGGGCAGCTGGATCGAAGATGGCCCTTTTCCCCACAGCCATAGCACCTACGGCTGTATCCTTTGTTGCGGTCGCGAACTGTAGCTGCTGCAACCTCCCTGACGCGATGGGAACGATGATCCTGCCGCACGGCTTCCACCTACAGTGCATGGGCCAAGGCGTCCTTAAGCGTCTCGTGGTGCCCGAGCCTCACAGCAGCTCTGACTTCCAGGTCGCGGATGCCGTCGATGAATGTCTGCACCAGATTCCCTTCAATGAGCGCAGGTACAGACCGTTATGCTTTTCGCACCAGCTTCTCCACCTCTAGAGCCCACTGCTGCAGGTTTTCGTTGATGCGCTGCACGCGATCTTTAAGCTGCGCACGAAAGACGTGTTCCAGGTGAGCGTCGCCATATCTCGCCGGGGCCTCCAGAACTGTTAAGGCCTGGTCGCGCAGGAGCAGTCATGGCCTGACTTTTATTCCAGCCGTTCGCCTTCATAACAGCTTCGAACTGGATTTTGTAGGCCGACCAGGAAGAAGTCCCGTCGAACGGTGGCACCTTGAACCCACGTAGCGAAAATGTTGCAGCTACTACGGGAGCTGTAATTCCATCTCCCAGTTTGAGGTCATCCAGCGTTTTCTTCACGTCAGCCATCACGTTGTCAACCCGATTGTTCACTTGGTCGATTCGGGTTTCAGCTTTCTCGATTCGGGTTTCAACTTTCGCGATTTGGGATTCAGCTTCCGACAGGCGGTTATCATGCTGAGCAACCCTATCCTTCACCTCGTTTATCTCCTTCCCGAAGGTAGCGTGAAGGTCCTTCATGAGGAGCATCTGCTCTTCCAACCAACGGGCCTGTTCCTCTTGTCCGCCCCGCAGCTGCTCTTCCAAACGACTGACCTGTTCCTCCTGTCGGCGAGCCTGTTCCTGCAGCATCACCATCAGAGCACTTAAATCAGGTGCTGCAGATATAGAAGCTACTGACGGGCCTGCAGCATCACCATCAGAGCACCTAAATCAGGTGCTGCAGATGTAGGAGCTACTGACGGGCCTGCAGCCGGCGGCTGGCCCTCCAGCGTCTGCGGCGTTGCACCACCAAATCTTCTTTGGTCCGTCTCCTGCTGGCGTTGATTTCGGGTACGGACACCCTCAGTTTCCTCCTTAGGTAAAATCGGCATGATTTTATCCCACTTCTGACACCAATTGTTACGAGCTTGAGGTTCGTGACAATAAAAATTGCCGATGGAATTACCTAAATTAACACTTTAATTTTCTTTACACAAATTAAAACTTAAAACACCAATAATTAATCACACTGATTCACTTTATTTCGCTCCGAAGCTTCGCTTGTCTCGCCAAATTCAATACTTCCCCGATCGCATCTTGCAGAGCCTATAAATACAAATTAGCAACGAAACATCTAGAATATTCAAGTAATTACGCGCAAGGCAACGAGAGTTCGAGTGTCAGCTTCTAGAAGCTTAGTTCTTCGTTTCGAGACTAGATGGCGCTGTTGGTTGAAAGATTAGTGATGTCATTTTCTGGAAAGCTCCACTCGCTCTCGTCCCTGACACTAGATGGCGCTAGTGCCGGGTACATGACGTCGAATTAGGCACGCAACAATATTAAATGTGCATGCTACTGCCTCGTTCCGGTATGAATGGTACGAGTCAGTATCAATACAGGCTGTGAGAAATTTGATCTCAGTCCTTGAGGGTGACACCACCTCAGTGGCATTTTATATTCAGTTGGTTGTAAATGTCTATTGGCTGCAGTAGACACATACCACTAGAGGTACCTTGAAGTGAATTAAAAAAAGCCTGATAAAAGTATAACATACATGGTAGGCATGCTGAGACTGCTAGTTACAGACCCCTGCTCATTTCTTTATAATAAGCGAAAACGAGCATGTGGTTCACCTGATAGTAAGTGACAACCGCCGCCCATGAATATCTGCAACACCAGGGGAATTGCAAGAGCGTTGTCGGCCTTTTACCAAAGGATTAAACTCGTTTCTTGAAGGTCCCTAAGTCGTATCAGTCCGGAAAAATCGCTGGTGGTATTCGATTCCACAAAGAAATTTTGCGAGGAAGAAAACTTCTTGTAAATCAGACAGTGGTGGACTGGCAATCATCCAGAAGGTATAAATGGTATGGTAAATATTGTCGCGATACGCAATGGTGAAATTTAGGGGCTGAAATCAGGCCGAACAATGCCTCTGGGCACTTTGAGGTAAAGAGCTAAAGAGTTGCAACATCTCTTCGCAGTGCCAGCAAGTATAGCCGATCAGAAAGAACTTGGATATCACCGAGAGAGCAAGTTAAGGAGCAATTTTTCGCCTCACTGCTCCAGTGAGTTGACGGACTTTTCATTTCCTTCATCATTGAGCACGTAGTAAATCAGCACTTAAAAGTTGAAATTAACAATTTCATTGATTACGGTGGGGATTGAACTCGTGAGTTTTTATAGGATACACGTGAGAAACAAACAGTCCCGATGGTAAGTGGATACTGTGGTCTATAATATGTAGATACATTGTCATCCTTGAAGACTAAGATAGAATGCCTACATACTGGTGTATGCTGTGGCCCATAGACATCTAAATTTATCCTCGATTAAAAATCAAAATCTAGATACATCGTTATCTCTAAATACTAAGGGTTCATACCCACTATGCAATTCAATGTATATAAATAAAAAATAAATAAATTCCATTTGCAACCGCATCCTATAGTTAGCTGGACAGTTAGCCTGTTACCCGCATAATGTGTATGATGAGATTTAAGATAGAATGCCTTGATACCTACGGTTCTTAACATACATCATATGAAACAGCAGCATTAAGCTGCTATATTACACTGGTATTCTGTGTGAGGGCTTACCAGTCGAGCTGACCCATTTGTGCCGCAACCATAATGTAGCTGTAGCGTGGCTTAACACGGCTCTTAGGGACTTTTCGAAAACGCTGAAAAGAAGAAGACAAGTCAAAAGGTAGTTACTGATGTCCTTGTAGAACTGCAGTAGAGGCAGATGGCAGGTGGTCTTTATGTACTGCATGAAGGCGTAGAAGTACTCCTGCTGGTTCATTACTAACTCCAGTTCCACACGAAGCAGCCGGCTGCGTTGCGTGTATACACTCTCCGATTGACGCGCAAATGTTTCCAAGAACTCCACCTGTAGTTGTTTATACGACGATGGATTTATTTAGTTCTCACATAATGATTTCTTACGTTACTCATTGCGTACCTGCAAGATACCATTATTTAATAAACTGACGAAACTCGAAGCTGTAATTTTGATTATTTTTTGAAAAGAAAATTTGGAGAGATTAAATTTAGGTTAACAAAAAATACAAAACGCTGGTTTAGGTATTTGTGAAGGCAATAAGTTAATTGTATCATTAAGAGTTTGTGAACAATGTAAGGCAACAATCAAATCAGATGCTAAATGATAGCTTAATGCTGCTGTGTTTGGTATGGTAAGGTGTAGAGAACCGGAGACCCTTTTTAGTCCTCACGGATGACAACGCATCTGCATTTTGATTCGTAATCGAGGATAGATGTAGATGTCTATGGGCAACAGCAATCACTTACCATCAGGTGGACTACGTGCTCATTTATCATTATATGCAATAAAAGAGAACTATAGACTAAATAATTCATCAGTCCTTTCCGTAAATTGCGATTTAACAAAGGACTTACAATGTGATGCGCAAATAACGTATTTTGCACCACAGAAATGCATAAAGGTTGTTTTATAATTTGTATAACGTAGCACGTAACACACATAACCCGTCAATTTATTCAGCAATAATGTCGTACGGTTGCTGCTTGTGTAAAACAATTTGTAACAAACATTAAGTCATATTATATAAATAAAATATTTTCTTGTCCCATTTTTTTTCTATACTGTATACCTACATCACTATAGAAAACAGTTTTTTGATAAAATGGCAATTACTTGAAAAATTAAGTAGGCCTCTAAGTAGTATTAGTCCGGCGCCCCCAGAAATTCAAGACCCGCCTCTGGTCTGCTGAGCTATTCTACTTATTAACCACGTTCATGCTAACATTGGTAAATGCATTAAAATCTTAAAGAAAATACTAAAAATAGTTTCAAGCTTATCCAAATCTCCTAAGAGTAAGACAGATATCAAATTGCATGCAAACCTTATAGTTGGGTGTGGCAGGCAGTTGGGCCATCTTCTCATTGCTGGTGGCGAGTATAATAAGCGCGTTCAATATGTAAGGGTCTGCTAATACGTCGGTAAGGGACAGAAGCACCCAGCCTGCAAACACCTCCCTTATGAGCACGCGAAATACCCTGTAAATTGGAAATAAAAAATCAAGTAAACTTAAGTAACAACAAGTTTTAAAAACCTTATCTTTTTATAATGAATATGGGTAACAAATGATCACAAAGTCTACCTGATGGTAAGTGGATGCTGTGACCCATAAAAATATAGATCTATCATCAATTACAAATCGAATCAAAACCCTCGAGGACTAAGATGTAATTCTTCTTTTGCAGTAAAAAAGATCTCCAGTTCCCTACACTCATCTAATAAAACACAACAGCATTAAGCTATTTTACGCTGGCATTCTGTGAGAGTGTGGTCCTATCTCGGTTGAGCTGACCCATTCAAAAATGGCTAGTAGAGTAGTAGAGTATTATGCAATAATCTATATTGAATAAAAATCATTCATTTCATTTATGCTACAACCATAACATATCTAGCTGCAGCATGGCTCTACCACATACTAGGCTGCAATAAAAGTATCGGGAATGGAATATTTCCACTGTTCCTGTCAAATTAAAATCTTTTTAATTGAAAACTCCTTGGTTTTAAAAATCGAATACCATTTATTTATTTAAAAAAAGATTCTCGGTTTTGTCACAAGGTTTTGTCAAACTTGTTTAGTCATTGAGAAAATGGAATCGACTCGAGAAAATTCAAGAGCGATGATTTATTATGACTTTCGAAGTGGTTTAACACAAAAACAGTGTGTTGACCGGATGATTTCTGCATTTGGTGATGAAGCCCCATCAAAACCACAATTTATCGCTGGTTTGCTGAATTTCAACGTGGACGTGTCAAGCTCAGTGATGATCCCCGTCAAGGTCGTCCAAAAACTGCAGTCACCTAAGAAAACGTTGATGCTGTGCGTAAGCTGATTGAGGAAGATCAAGAGTATGCGGACGCTGCGGCCCATAGACATCTACATTTATCCTCAATTAAGAATCAAAATGTAGATGCGTTGCCAGCAGTTGCAGTAAAAAGTCGGAAGAACAAATAAAAGCGAATTCCACCCCAGACGGGGTGGATAGATGAACACGCATTTCCCAGTATCCACACTAGGGTAGATTCTTTAGGGTATATACAATATGGGTGATAAACAGAATTAGCCATATATATTAACTACACATTTTTATTAAGTTGTGACAAAAAAGTTTCCATCTTTTTTTTTTTTTATAGAAGAGGGGCAAGAACAAGCATGCTGCGGCTCACCTGATGTTAAGTGACTACCGCCGCCCATGATCAACCGCAACACCAGGGGAATTGCAGGTGCGTTGCCGGCCTTTTAGAAAGGAGTAAGCTATTTTCTTGAAGGTCCCCAGATCGTATCGATGCGGAAAAATCGCCAGTGGTAAACTATTCCACAGAGAGGTCGTACGCGGAAGAAAACTCCTTGTGAAACGTACAGTGGTGGACCGCTATGCTTCCAGATGGTGTGGATGGTATCGGAACGTTTGCCGCGCAGTGCATTCACGAAATTTAGCAGCTGGGATTAATCCGAACAATTCCTCAGACCACTCCCCATGGTATATGCGAAAGAAAATGCAAAGAGATGCAACATCTATTCGCAGCGCGAGTGAATCGAGCCGATCGGAAAGCAGTCGGTCGTCGACGATTCGAGCCGCTCTGCGATGGATGCGGTCAAGTGGAAGGAGCTGGTACTGGGGGAGCCCCATCCCAGAAATGGGAACAGTATTCCATGTGCGGCCGAACCTGCGCCTTGTAAAGTTGCAGGCGGTGTGCCGGCATGAAATACTGTCCCGCTCTGTGAGCACGCCAAGCTTTTTAGAGGCCAATTTGGCCTTCTCCTCGAAGTGACCACGAAACTGCACGTCACTCGATATGTCGACGCCGAGGATTCCAATACTGGCTGAGGCAACAAGGGGGAGTGCCTTAAAACTAAGGAGATACGACAAAGGGGGTCTTTTTAGTGGTTAACGCGTAAACTTGTGTCTTCTGAGGGTTAAACTGGACTAGATTTAGTCGCCCCCAATCCGAGACTCTGTTCAGCAAAGACTCGACTTCAGACACAAGTTTGTCCCGGTACTCAGAGACGTTTTCCCGAGAAATATTGGCACGGCCGGTGTACAGAGCATCACCAGTGCTGTCATCTGCATAGCAATGAATGTTACGGGTTTGCAACATATTGATATGCAGAAGAAATAGCGTTGACGATAGCACGCAGCCTTGTGGAACACCAGCATTAATAGGCTTGTAATCGGAGCTTGCACCGTCTACAACGACCTTGATGTTCCGATCTGCAAGAAAGCTGATGATCCAATCGCACAATTTCTCGGGAAGCCCATAGGAAGCGAGTTTCGAAAGAAGCGCTTTGTGCCAAACCAGATCAAAGGCCTTCGCAATGTCCAAACTAACGGCCAATGCCTCCCCCTTGGACTCTACGGGCTCCGCCCATCTATGAGTTACGTAGACCAGAAGATCACCAGCTGATCGACCACGGCGAAAACCGTATTGGCGGTCACTAATCAGCTGGTGATTCTCAAGGTAAATCATGAGCTGGCTGTTAACAATAGACTCCATTATTTTGGAGAACAAGGAGGTGATGGCGATAGGCCGGTAGTTGGACGGGTGTGGTGTTTACAACCCGGGACGTTGATGCGTCAGCCCAGGTTTGGTAGCACTCCTGCTTATAGCATGAAGCTATTTTACAGGAGCGACCAAACCATGGCTGAGATTTGCCTCCGATGGGCACCGCAGAGGAAGGAACTCCTGCTCCACATCTGGAATCCGCGTAGGCGAAGTAACCAGTTGTGTCAGACCATATGCCAAGGCAAAAATCTATCTAATCATGAACAGATCTCCCCGCATGATCGGTTAAACATGAACCAAGCCATTCGGCGTGATGGGCCGTTAAAGGCGCCGAGGATCACGATCTCTGCGGAGGGGATCTGCTGTAGCAACGAATCTGTAGCCATTTGGACGTGGTCGAAGAGTCGGTCTGTTTCGGCATTACCGCTATGGGACCTATAGAGACACCCGTAGACGCGCGGATGGTCGTCGCTGTTTACGCGTAGCCAAAGGATGGACAGGCCCGAACCTTCAAGACTGCCGAGGCTTCGAGAACAGATGTCCTCTCTGACGTAAATGCAAACTCCAGCCCGAGGCACAAAGGAGTGTTCCAGTTTGTACCCCGTGTAGGAGAGATACGAGACATCAGCCGGAGAAGACACCTGCGTCTCGGTCAGAAAGAGCAAAGCCGGCTTCGCCGTCTCGAGATGGTAGTGGACGGCGTTTAGGCAGGCCTCCGTCACTCGCTCTAGGCCACGCGTTATATGCCTACCGTTCTGCGTATCGTCCACGATACAACCGACATAGGGCCGCCGCACGCCCGCCTAAGCACAGTGCGAGCGCTGCGCACGTTTCCCTAGCTTACTTGTCGAAATGCCAAAACCATACGTTATTATTGTGCAGTGGATGGGTGTAAAAGTCAAAAAACTAATGAAAAATTGTCTTTTTTGCATTGACTCATGTATCAGAGTATTTATTATATAAATGTAGCAAAAAAAAAAAACATAACTTATATGCTTTGTTACAGGAAAACCCTAATGTTGACGAAACAACACTGTATACTAATTTAAAAGCTTAAAATAAAGATTCATCTTTTTGTGGTAGGCTAAAAGTCCTACCAGAACCGTTTAATAATTATATTGAAGAATTAGAAAGAGCATTCTTAAATAATTTTGACAACGTCATAATGAATCGGCCTGGCAGCACCGTGTTGCAAATTTTACAAACCATTGATTTTCCTCTACTTTGCTCCTGTTTTCGTCATGATTATTTATTAAAATTATTTACGCAATTTAGGAAACTTCAACGATAAAATTAATAACCGGGAATTAAAAGAAGGAAAAAAATGTCTAAATCATTTTATAAAACTCAAACATATTTGATTGACAAATAAAAAATATTTTTATTATGTAATATGTATTTCGCAACATTCGTTTTATTACAATAATCATCATAGGTACAACCCTAGCGCATTCGTCCGATGACGCGCTTGCACGTGAGTTACAAGGCGGGCAACACAATCTCGACTCTTCGTACGCGTACTTATGGTACATTTTCTTCTCCCTACGAGCAGCAGATATTATTATTAAAATTTTGTAGGCTATTATAGCGTAGGTATTATCGCTATTGTATGGGAGTGATGTATCTGTTGGTAAACTATTTATTAATCTGTGATTTAGGTTAGAGTGAAGTCCCCTGATATTGCAGAAATTCACGGATAGCGTGGCAGGGGTCGCCTTGGTCTTGTTGCTCCGGTTGCCCCCAGAAAAATGAATTTGCCCCCCCCCCCCCGCAGAATACGCGGGCAGCCTGAACAACCACCTTCAGGAGTGGAGTAACTTGGTCGTGGATGCTCAGCGAGGGATTCTCCAGGGGTGCTGGTACCCTCCTGGGGTACGTCTTTACTTAATTCCGCTACCATGTTGATGGGGGGGGGGGGGGCACCAGCCACCTGCACTCACCAGACGAAATGCGGAAGCAGAGCTTCCACTTCACGCCGGTATTCTGTGAGGTCGTGGTACAACCCCGGTTTGAGTAAGTAAAGTGTGTAAGTAAAGATTAACTTACGAGTTGTTTGTCTCATTAGGTTGTAGTAGCAACGGAAGTAGAACTTCTGTTAGACACCTCAAGTACTTCATTTCAGCCGCCCGGTTGCACGCGGCTACGTGCAAGGCCGGTCTAGTACCGCTCGAAACAACAGCATAATGTTGTAACGCACACGGCACTAGACGCTCATTGATTAAACGAGCATAATTTATCTGAAAAATGATTAAATACAAGTGTAGATGTAAAAATTTACATATTTGGAATTTCTATTATAAAAGTTATGCATTTTCATGAAGCGAATTCGACAAACCAAGCGTAATGTGAAAGTCAATTATTGATTTCTTTTTTTTTTTTTTTAATTCTTTATTAATGAGCTTATTCACAATATGAATATGTCGCTCCGTTAATTCATCACCAAAAAAAACAATTACATAAGGTATACTTAAACTTATTATTATAAAGTTCTCAAATCAATAATTAATTACAGAAAGTTGAAGAAGATATGCAATTAGTTACAAAAAGCAAAATGAAAAGTTCCCAGATCAATCACATTGAGAAGTGAGTGATCGATCCGAGAACTTCACCTTGTAAAGCTTGACTAATATTTTTATATCGTCAGAATGTGGCTTAGCTAAAATTATATTACAATCAGCGAAATCTTTTAAAATGTGGTGGCATTTCTCATTACGAAAGGCAGCGTTGTGGGCACAATCCATCAAGACATGCATTAGGTCGTCTGGAACACCGCATTGATCACAGTTCGGTGACTGGACCTTTTTCATAAGGAATGCAAACTTTCTTGACGGAATGTGTCCAGTACGCAGCCTCATTATCACTACTGCATCCTGTCGCGATAGCTTATGGTTATCAATCCATGGTATTTTAGGCGGATGTGACTGTACCGTCTTGTACCAAATACCCTTTTCTTTTGAACGTAAATCGAAATATTCTTTCCATAGGTTGTAACATAGCCTTTTTATATATTATTGATTTCTTAAATTTACGCGAACACTACACATTGAATAAAACTATTATTTACGGATTTTATCGCGTTTAATTACTTTAATTTATTTTTATTATGATACTATATTTTCGTTTTGCGTAAATCGGACCAAAAATTAATATTAAAAAAACTGAAGGTAGCCGGACTAACTATGACATTGGGACGTCAAACATCTCAGTCCCCCCCGTGACCATGGGTGCTGTAAAGCACCCGAAACGTCGGGATAATAATAAAAATAAATTAAAGTAATTGAACGCGATAAAATCCGTAAATAATAGTTTTATTCAAAGTCAATTATTGTCAAACGAAAACCTTAATTGATATTGATATAGTTGTAGTGTAGAATACATAGTAGAAAGCATATGTACTACCCCATATCATCCCGTGTCGTAAGAGGCGACAGAGAGAAACAAATCAGGATAAGGGCAGCAGCACCTTCCTAAGACCAAGTAAATACGTGTGGCACTCGGTGACTGCCGCGGTAAAGCTATTGCATAGCATTTTTTATCAACTTATGCAATTATAATTATTTATTTATTTTATTTATGCAGTTAAGTCTTTGATATTAAATCAAGTTACACTATATGAGAGTGGTGACCGATAAGAAAACAATTCTTTTTTCTCTTATTGAATAAATGAGAAGTTAATATTGTTTAAAATATTTTTAATATCTTACAATACATGTTGGTTATTCAGGAATTTTTATCATTCAGTTAGCAGCTAGTGTACACGCATACGTCTAGTCGCACGCACACAAACACCGTGCCGAACTCTGTCGAGTGCCGAAGTCTGCCGAACTAAAACGATGTTAGACGATGCACGGCTTTCAACGCCACACCTCCGTGCCCGTCGGAGTGGGGAGCGTGAGGTTTTTTTTCGTTACGGAATTTCTGGATTCGGTCCCCCCGCCCAAGGCCCGCGATAGAAGCTATGCGATAGCTTAAAAACTGCGGTTGCCAATCCGCTTTGTAAAGCGTGGCAGCTGTTGCAAATATCCCCCTATAAGGCAATCTATGAGCTAGGCTTATGTTCAGCAGTGGACTTTCATAGGCTGTAATGGTTAAAACAAATTTAACTTGGAAATTATAATTTAAAATTACAAAAGCAATGTGAAGGTTGTAAGGCTTTGTTGTCAAGGATTGTATCAAAATCTTACAAAGTTATTAAATAGTCATAATACCGGCATGGTTGATGTCAAAGTGAAAAGTGTAACATAACAAAACATTGTGGTATGGTGTTATTATTATTACTTAACAGGCTAGCAGTTTATACAACTGATGTAACGCCGTATCCTATTTTCAAATGTGGAGTTTTTCTAATTTTAGATGTTTATCTAATCTGTTCTTGAATTGGTTAATAGTTTGTGCAGATATAACTTCTGATGGTAGTTTGTTCCATGTTTCAACCACTCTTTCGCTAAAAATAGTGCTTGTGTGCGTTATTATTGTGACACGGCTTTGGTTAATTTGAGGTAATGTCGCCTAAGATGTGTGTTTGTTGAGTACTGGAATAAATCTTTGTCAAAATTTTCCAGATCGTAGTGTCCATGTATAATTTTATATACTTCAATCAAGTCTCCCCGTTCTCTGCGATCTTTCAGTGTCGTTAGTTGAAGTTTATTCAACCTTTCCTCATATGGTATGTTTTTCAATACTCTAGGGACCTTTAAAAATCTACGTTGAACTTTCTCCAGCAACTCAATATCCTTTTCGAAATATACATACTCCAAAATAGGTCAAAAGTAGGCCTTATGTGTTTTTAGCATCATTTCTGGTGTTAGATGCCCGAAGGCTTTCTTAATCAGATAAATAAAACTATTTTTTTAGTTATCACTATTATATGATGTTTCCATTTTAGATCATTACTTACTTATATGCACACCTAAATCTTTTTGTACTTTAATTTCTTCCAAAGGTATATCATCAATTTTATATATGAAACGAGGGTTTCGGTTTTCTATATGGAGGACTGTGCATTTAGTTGTATTTAATTTAATAAGCCACTTTTTTGACCAATCTGATATTTTAATTAGATCTGCTTGAAGGCAATCAGAGTCCACTAGTGGTTTTGCGAATATCTTCGTGTCATCAGCGAACATTACATTACAAATCAAGCTTTTAGGTAGATCAAAGGTAAACAGTATAAACAATACCGGCCCCAGTACAGAACTTTGCGGCACACCGCTTTGTATTCCTTTTTCATCTGACAATGTGTCGCTAATTCTTACTCTGAAGCTTCTTTGTCGTAGAAAAATCTCAATCCAAGCTAACAGTTTCCCTCGAACACCAACATATTCCAATTTCTGTAAAAGCCTGCCTATGGGCACTTTATCAAAAGCTTTTTCGTAATTGAGATATATAACATCTATTGGTTCTCGATCATTTTGACCCAGGATGATAAGGAAGACAAGCTGGAAATCGTTGATCTATGAGGACACAAACCATGTTGCTGTTTGCCAATAGTATGTTGTTACTATTATCTTTTCCATGACTTTGCACACCACACTAGTTAAACTTATCGGTCTATAATTTGCAGGGTTTAATTTATTTCCCTTTTTGTAAACATGAGTCACTAAAGCCGTTTTCCATATATCAGGCAACACTCCTTTGTCATATGATTCTTGCACTACTGATGCTAGGTAACTATCAAGACCACAGTTCTTTAAAACATGTACGGGTATTTCATCGGGGCTAGGTGAAGATTCTATATTCATTTCTTTGATAGCACCTTGTACTTTGGATTCTGTGAACGTTATGTCCTCTATAGCTTCAGTTGCTCTTAGGTTTGTGTCTAAAGCAAGAAGTTCTTCTAGTGGTACTCTTTCAAATACGTTAGAAAAATAATCTGCAAATACTCCCGCTATTTCTTTAGGACGGGTCACAGAATGCTCATTACTGTTCCGTAAAATGTTTGGTGTACTAACTTTTGAGGTGATTTGCTGCCGGGTGTATGAGTAAAATTTCTTTGATCCTAGTTCTAATAGTTCATTCTCGTAAACTGCCTTTGCCTTGCACCCTAAACTAGTCAGTTTGCTATTTAGCTTCCTGTATTCCTTATATATTTTATCTGACCCTGTTACAGTATATCTCTTCCAAAGAATTTTTAACTTCCCGCTAAGAAAATTTAATATTTTAAAAAATAGGGAAGTTATTGGTTTTAAAAGAAAAATAAAATTATGAAGGTAGATTTTAAAAGTTCGTAATTCACTGTATTGTTATTTTTTTCAAAGTTTTGCACTTTATGTTTATAATTATGGTGAGAAAACACTAGCACTAGACATCTTTATCCTGCGCCTTATTTTGATCGTACTTTTATAACATGAAATTTTTATTGGTACCAAATCATCAACAGCACTTGTACACACAACCACTTCAATTTGACAACATGTGGTGTCAAACTGCATATTCACTAAATATGAACCCTGTGGTGGCAATATAACTAACTTAGCCCTTGTAATGTTAGTTTCAGCTAGCACTTTAAGACTACAAGTTTTCGTGGCCCAAGTCTAGCAGTGGTCTGTTATGGACTAATAAAGAAAATTATTCTTGATAGTTACAAATAATAGTCGATAAGCTAAAACAATTTACAAAAAACATGGGATATATGGGGTCTAATACACAGGTGGGGTCAAACACATATTTACAATTATAATGAGACAGTTATTGTGAATACAGCAAAATTTTAGGCCTCACCAAACGAAAAACCTGGTCCAATTCCTAAATACTCCATGTAATACTTTAGAACCCTGATTGTAATTTTTTGTCATCTATTGACTGTCTTGGTCTAGTGGCAGTAAGCGCAGCTGCCAATCATGTGGTTCGAATCAGGTTGGACGAAAATTAGTTATCGGGTGTTTCTGTCAGGAAATTCTCGGTTGCAGCCCAGTCAGTAAACTAGCAGTGTTACACTCTTTGGTCATGTTGGCAGTAATCCAACATGACCAAATGCCCTATTGGACAATGAGAGAGGGAATAGTAACTGCAGGTGTGCTAGCATGCACACCCATGCACTATAATCCTGTCCTGCACAGGTGAGTAGTCTCCATTGAGACTGGTTGCCATGGTTGCTATGACCGAAATTCAGTCTGGAGGACATTATTGTCATCAATGTATGATGTGATCAATATAAACATTTATAGATTGTTTTATTACATACCTTCAGAGCTCGTCGCAATAAATTAGCAGATGCATATCTAAGTTGATGCCTTATCTCATCAACAAAAAATGGTTGCAGTGAAATTTTGCTATACCATGAATTGATGAATTGGTCTAATATTGTATTGTAAAACTGTGAACAAACATCGCAAGTTAAAATCATGACTACATCAGACATAAAATACACTATGTAAGATGTAGGATTAACCCAAAAATAATACTACCAAACTTGATAAAGATATGAAAACTGCTTATCACATCACAAAAAAGAGACCACAGAAGTAAAGCTTATGTATGTACTTCACTTTTCATATCAAGACATGGCTGCAGTGCTAGAGTTGTCTATCCAACTTAAGCAAAAATCATAGTTATAAAAATTAATAATTGCTACTTAATATGTTGTAACTGTGGTAAACCATTGGTAACCTAAGTAAGTTAGTATTGTTAATTATAAGCTTTTATTTAACTTGCTTTGTTTTTATGTCTGTCTTTCTGATTCCAACTCGTAAATGAATTTTGATTTACTTTCTAATGACCGATTGATTAAGCCAAAGTTATTAGGATAGTTATTTTGTAGATTATTTATTTATTATAACATAGGTCGCCCCTTTGGATTGCTTCATAGGGGGGGAGGGTATTTCCACCGTTGCCATGCTGGGCAGGCAACTTGGTAACCACAGTTTACTACAGTTACAGTTAGGTTTAGCCTTTACAAGGTTTTCAAGTCGATGCTGTGGCCCATAAATATCCTCAATCCTCAATTAAGAATCAAAATGCAGATGCTTTGTTACCCCTGAGAACTACGATGGAGTGCCTAACTAACTATTACTAATCCTATTTAGAAACAAATTACTTGCTTATGCTTGTTTTGGTTTTTTTGTAAAAATTAATTGCCTTACATCTTCTATGGCTTGATCCAATTGTTTATGTATTTGTAGTCCGCCCCATGGTTCTGGAGTTATTACAGGATTATGACGCATACAATCCTTATATCCACATGTCACACAACCCTAAGAAAAGACAAGTAAATCATTATTTGAAACAATGAACCTAAATGCAATTATCTCTTACAAACTATTAAAATGTCATGTACATCTGGAAGCCTTTCAAGCTACCTTATTTTATTTTGCAAGCATATATATATAAGATATAACACTCCATGTACATAATAAAATGTAAACATGTTTGTGTTTTTTTTTATAGTGAAATATTTTTATTATAGGTAAAATTAGAAAATTTGAGTAAATTGAACGTTTGGAAACTGCTTAACTTATAACAGAATGTTAAAATGAGGAAGGAAATAGTAGAGAATGAACTAATCTCCGTGATAGTGTATCAACTTACTTTGTCAGGAGGAAATTCGTTTTCTTTCGGTAGTGGCTTTCTGACAAATTGGCACATTAAATACTTTACATATTTGTAAAGAATATCTGAACTTAACGCGTAATAACAAGCCAAACATCCCAACCCATAACTGATTAAAATAGTGATCAAGTGAAATCTAAAACATAATAACGTATGTTACGAAAACTTTTTATAAAATAGTAAAGTAGTCAATTTCTTTCGTAAGCTAAACCTGTAGAAATATAGCACACCCAGAAGAACGCCACCAATACCAATACATATAAAATAATTCGGATTTTCAATTTTTTCCGTAAACTTTATTTGACATCTTTCAGTCATGGTTGAACCACCATCAATGACCATAGATAAATAAATATGTAGCAAGCTACAGATACGACAGCGACTTTTAGTCAAGTTTCCCAACTACGCCTTTTGGCGCTGCAGTCGCCCAATTTGACAGATGAGTAATGACGTCATGACTATACAATTTAGTATAGCTTAGGGATTGCAAGCACACAGCCTTCTAATTATCGATATCGATGTTTAGTGGTGTTCTTATTTTGTCGATATCGACATAAGTGCATTATACAGGAATAATAATACTTAATGAAACAATTATAATACATCTAACTTATTTATTTTTTATTCAAGCACACCAACATCATATACATACAAACGTAATCTTAGGATTAAATTAAAGGCACATTAAGTCATATATACAAATTAGAAAATTGTACATAACATTTTACATAAATAAGTACAATTTGACGAAACAGAGCAATATTTACAGTTCATTAAATAAACCACAGGAATCATATTTAAGTGCTTAATATTTTACTTTCAAGTCATTTTTTATTAGAAGCAATGCTATTTATTTTTCATTAGGGGTAAACCTGGGAATTCTTTTACAAAAATTAAAAAACATCTTCTCTTCTTTAATTTCATTTTCTACACCACGTAACCTGAAAAGAAATAAATAAAAATAAAGTTCAATATTCATATTTTATGACTTAATGATAATCATAAATTGTATATTATTTATATTAAGGTAACAAAGGGTGGCATCATGGCAGTTGCCATTTTTTATTGGTCAACCCATGGTGTGGTGAAAATAAAGTGGTAGATGCAGTAAATAAGAAATAAAAAACATATAAAGATTAACACTGTATACATCCATTATCAGGAGATTTCTTAATGTCTTCAGGCACGGAGTTCCAAATAAGTGTAACCTTAATACTAAAGGAGTTGTTGATAAAATCATTGAAGTGTAGTGGAACTGTAATCTTTAGATTTGATGAAGAACAAAGAACTCTTACCGTGATTTGAGGATAATATGCTGAATATAGATATAATAGATATGTTATCTTATCTTACCTAATTATATCTAAGAATAAACTGAATTTATCATACCTTTTTGCCAATGTGTACATTTTGTATCTTCTGTCAACATTTGTCTCACCACATCAGCATTAGATTTCTGTTTCTGAAAACCAACAATATTTGTGAATTTTGTTCTTATACATAAACCCAAAATTAAAGAATAAATATATAATGTATACTTCTGTATTGTATGTATTAATGCTGTATGGCTACTGTTAACGACAGTTTAGTATAATCATAATTCAAAAGTGATCTATATTATCATATAACTTAATTTTTAGAATTTTATTTCACCACCGTCATCATTACAGCGCTTCACAAGTCCACTGCTGAACGTAGGCTTCCCCCAAGAAATGCCACAAATCACGGTCCTAAGCCACCAGCATATAAAGGTCGTGAATGATACACTTAAAATTATTAATTTTTTATTTATACATTTTTATTTTAATCTTTTAATGTATTCACTTTGATAAGATAACAAATAAAGTGGATGTCATCAGAGGAAGAGTTCCAGAAAAATGTAACCTTAACAGTAAAGAACTTGTTGATAAAACCATTGAAGTGTAGTGGAACTGTAATATTGGGATTAGGTGAAGAACAAAAAACTCTTATTGTGATTTGAGGTAGATATTGAAACTTCTTCTAATTATGTCTAAGAATAAACTGAATTTATCATACCTGTTTGCTTTTTTGTACATGTGCTACCTTTTGGCATCATTTGTTTCACCACATTAGTATTAGAATCAATTCCTGAAAAGAAGCAATAGTTATGAATGTTATGGTCTTAAACATAAATTAAATTTACAATGTATGCTTCTCTGTATTGTATGTCTAAATTAAATACACGTAACCATCCTCTAGAACTCATGCAGTTCCAGGTATGCAGTGACAACTCCAGTCCACAGCCTGTTTTTAAGCATTTAAAGTATTTTTTCTATTACCCGATATATAAGTACTTCTTTTAATTTGATCCCTACATAAATGTATAAAAAATTATGTCCAATACAATTTCCCATACCTTTATTTTCAACAACTGTTGCAACAGTTGAAAAATTTGAACATGAAGGCTGTTCATGAGAATTTCCAACATCTGAAATTTGTTACAAGATTGCATTTTTATAGATGTCAGTATGATTAGGCAAACACATTATTAGAAAATGAATGGTTAGTAAATTTATGAAATAGTTAGAAAGCTTTTTTTGCTACTTAGTAGCTAGTGCTACATGAATATTAGTACACACCTGACGATCCAATCTCTACCGATGATTTGGAACAATCATTTTGCTCTTTGTAGTAATTGTGTTCAATCGTAACATCACTTCCTGAAAACATTATTCAAAATGTTGAAAAATTTGCCACTGACTGTAATTTAAATAAAATATTTTTAGAAATCAGTGTTCATCATAATATGTTTACTATGATTTACAATTAACATCAATTAAGATATTTGTACATACCAGGCTTTCTAACCACTAACACAGCTTCTGTGAAATCATCTTCATTTTGCTCTTTACAGTAATTATGTTCAGTTGTGACATCCCATCCTGAAAAAATTACACTATCATAGCAAATAATGATGTAGAGTCAATGACACTTACAAATGGTCGTACTTTTATCTTGTTAATACTTGGGCCCAAGAATGTATACAGACGTCTCCTTCTCTTTTAAGTACCATGGTTGAAAGTAATAAAATAACTCACCAGTTGCAGTCAGAGGCACACCATGAGCTATTTCATTGTCAGTAAGCAAGGACGGGTAAGAGTATCGAAGTCTTCTGCCTTCATTGCCGAACTGAAATACATCAAAATGTTTTTCACAGACACGTTTGTTAAGTAACTGTTCTTTGGAAAGTACAATGAGCTGTAATGAATGAACATCCACAAGTTCCTTAAATTATCGTTCCTAGGGAATCTGAAAAGCCGGTGCGTTTCACGTGTTGTATTGCAACCACCAACACAACACTTTTCGTATACCATTATGATGATATATGCAATATTCACACGAGCAGCACAAAAACAGAATATTGTAATAATTGAGAAAAATTTAGATAAATAATGGCGGCAAATGGCGGCAATCAATATCGATAGTTTTGACAATATGATTTGACATTAATAGAATATGGCGTCTCAAAATGGCGTCCGTAGGCAGAGTAAAAATTGCGACGGTAGCGCCAAGTTGCGTAGAATGGAACTAAGCTGTCACGGGCCTGTCAATGACAGATGAAATGACTTTTAATCGGTCACAAAGAGTATATTATAGTAATTGTCCTATACAGGAAAGTCAACTCAACGTTCAACACAGCAAAGAGTATATAATCAGTACGTTTTACAACACAGAATCATTATTATAACCATGAAGGTTAGAGAACAGAAGAACGATCACTACATACGAAAGCATAGCCCGCCTGTCCTTGAAAATTGTAGAATTTATAGCGACGCTGACTTCGGTGAGTAGTGACTGCGCGTTAGGTGCTTATGAGTACAAGTAGATGAAGTTAGTTGAATAATGTACAAATTTCCTTCGCGGCATTGGTGAGAAAATTTTCATGCTCTGTAATTTTGTAATTTTTGACAAAAAGAAACATTAAAAAATGGAGAAATATTTTATTATGCGTGCATGTGCAAGTGGTTTAGCACCTGATCGGAAAATTAGACTGTAAATGACTTTTATTGACCAAACTTAGCAATCGCAGCGCCTCACTTATGTCGTACATATTTCTGGGACACTATTTTCTATGGCAATCGTTCTCCTGTTCTCTAACCTTCATGGATCAGACAGAGAAATATCAAAGAAAACTACTATAACGTACCCGAGTTTTCTTAGGTGTCAGAAAAATTATTGCATTAATTTTGACACCTACATAAGATATGATTAAACTACACAATTTCCATAATATATATCTTAAATACCAAAACTTGACGCTCAATCTAATTCTTCTACCCCTGTTACTGGTCCCTCTAGCTCATTATTAAGAAATGATGAAAATACAGGCATTTCTGATGAGGTATTTTTATTGGAGAATTACAATTAAATTTTGACCGTGTAAGGAAAACATTGGGGTCGTCACTGTGGCCGTGATTGTAAAGAAAAGGGGAGAACTCTCACAAGATAAGGTGTTCGGCCGGGGGAGCACCCAACGCTAAGTGTATTAAATAAGAGCTGTTCGCGGTAATTTTGGAGTCAATCGCGCTATTGATAGCGCGATTTAGACTTCAGTGCGTTTTCGCTTGTGGCGCGACAACAGCACCGCCACGAAATTATGTTCTTCTACTTCGTCTTTCTATTTTTATATGAAAGTTTCTCTCACGATATGTATTATAATAAACAGACAAAATACATTTTTTTAATTTGACCTTTTCTTCCACATTTACAAGAAACTCCATTATTTTTTTCCTGTTACAATTAAAAATAAGGTTGATTAGGATAGCTCTACGTTTAAAAATGGTCTTTATAGGCTACATACCTGACCTTGACATTAGAGTAAGCGAAATTAGGCTACATCACAGAAAAATATCAGGTGAATTTAGACCACTTGGCGTCAAATGTATATGTTATTACATTTGATTAATTTATATTAGATGTAAAGGCCAATTTTTCTTTTAAAATAAAACTAAAATTATCAACATGTTTTATATTTAAATCGAGTATTATTATAGTTGTTTCCTATCTGAAAATTGTAAGAAATTTGCGTAATTTAAACATTGTATCATAAAATATTAAATTACGCCTTAAATTGTAATTCCAATATACCAACTTAATTTACTACTAACTAAAAGGTTTTCATTAGTACGGTAGTTTCTTATTTCTTGAAACCATTTCTTAATGTCACATTCAGCTAGAGAAGCACTAGCTTTGGTTACTCCTTCGCTAGTTCTTTGTGTCAAGGTGGGGTGGCGTTTTAAAAAAGCCTTCAGCCATTCCTGTCCAGGCCTATTATTAACGAAAGTAGTTTCTCTTGGATTTTCAGTCAAAAATTTTTGAACGGTGTCTAGTACATCATCTGATTTTCTTGGGAAGCCTTTGCGGGCCATTTCAATTAACCATTCCTCAATGGAATTTTCTTCTTGTTTTGTTAAATAGGGTGTTGGACCAAATCCAGACTTTGAAGTAGGGTCTTGGAATGTTATTTTTTTTTTTGCAACAGCTCTCAAAGACATGAAGACGTTTACTATTAATTTTTTCTAAAGCCTCATCTAGCGCTTCTTTCGAATAGTGAGGTATTTTTGGCATGATTCTTTATCCTTTAATCTGTTAGAAAAAAAGTAGTGATTTGTTCAAAGTAAATGAATTAATATTATAGTAATTGGCCTACTTTTTATATGGTTTAGAATTACTTGTGACACAGTACTTGGCCTAGGCCAATAACTATTAATATATCTTTAAATTTTATGAGAATAGAATGGGCGGTGAATATCGAAAAATAAAGGAAATTTATTTTTTATAAACATAATTTGTTCAGTATCCGATAAGTATAGTTATTGGCATTACTGGTCAATTACTGTAAACTTTTAAAATCATTGATACAGTAATTGGCCACAATATTTTTTAGGTTATGTTAAGATATTAATGTTTTTCAGTTTTAACATGCTTCATGTGCTTAAAATACTATATAATATACAGATTTGTGAACACTGAACTATGATCAGTATGGTCAAAATATCACTTTAAATAAAATGTGTACTCTTAACATTTTTTTAACAAATTTACCTGATTGCGTACCGTTAAGGAATCCCCGATTACGAAAGGACAAATTCACCTGCCGACGTTTTGACGAAAGTTTTTGGCAGGCAACAACTGTGTTGCCAAAATAAATATTAATAAATAACATTTAACAACGAGGTTGCTAGTTTTTTAGAACCAAAGTTGAAATGGCTAATAACTGCATGGTGGCCAATGACTATACCGTTTCCCCTATATATATATATATATATATATATATATATATATATATATATATATATATATCCTCAAATATATTCCTCAAACAATAACATAAACAAATAAATACAAAAACTACATAATCACATAATTTATTCTAAGGATGTTCGAACGATTGAAACAAGTAATGCTCTTTAAAAAGTCGCTTAAAGACTACGATAGTTTGTGCTTCGCGTATATGCAAAGGTAGGTATGTTTAATGAATTTAAAACATTTTAATCGTTCGTTTTTTTTCTACATAATTATGATCGAATCTGATTTTCCCAAAATTTATTCTATTAGGAAATATGTTTCTAAAATTAATTATTGAAGTGAAAACTTCTCTAGCAGCGTTGTACACTTCGTTGAGGCGGCGCAGGGCGCTTTCACGAATGTAATATAAATTGTCATGTTTGTGTACGATAGCGCAATAAATAAATATTGTATTCTACCACATAAATGATAGTACTTTATTAAGAATTACAATGATAGGACTTGATTAAGAATTTGGCACTATGTTTAAAATAATGTTTGAATTATGTCATTCTTATAAATTAAAAATTTTATTTATTTAATTAATAAATTTGATATAAATATTGAAATAAATTAATGACAATTCGATATGTAACATTTATAATTGACATTATATTTACTGACATAAGAACATTAATATATGACATTGAGCTATAAAAATGTTTATATATCTTATTGGCAATTTATTTTTCTGACAGTGTTGCATAGGTAATTAATAATCGAATCAACTGAGTAATGTTAAAAAATTTTGTGTTGTTAAAAATTCGATAAGTATTGTTGTATAAGTTACTAGTACTTGACTAATAATATTTGCACACCACTGAGGTAGAATATGTAAAACAAATTATGCTCGAACACCATTGTACAACCTTCTTATTATCCTGGCAAATAAAGATTATTATTATTACTTTTATACTCTTGGAGATGGAATGCCTCACTTCCAGTAAAAAAGGTCTCCGGTAAAAAGGGTCTCCGGTAAAAAGGGTCTCCGGCTGAGAAGAAGCTGGGTCCGAATGAGCTAGAAGAGTTGCTTTAGATAGTGATTCCATACAGTCTTCGAAGGCTCGAAGTAATTGCGGAGTCATGACTATCGGATGAGATCCTTTGATTTTTGAGCCAATGAAAACGTCATTCAGCGGTGCTTGAAGTTGGGCTGCGTTGGGAACAAAGCGACGGTAAAAGTTTAGCATGCCTAAGAAATGTCTTAGTTCTTTGACCGTTTTTGGAACGGGGTATTGCCTGATAGTTTCGACTTTGGACTCAAGTGGTTTCGTACCTGCAGCTGACACGTGGTATCCCAGGAACTTGACTTCTGGTTGGCCAAGTGTGAACTTGGCAGTGTTTACCACTACGCCGTACTGCTTTAGGCATTCGAAGAGTTGCCGCAGATGATTTTTGTGCTCTTAGATGGATGACGAAAATACTAATATGTCATCTATATATCCTCCTGCGTTTCTTAAGCCGTAATTCATGAACGGGAATTCGTACAATCCAAATGGAGTCGTGATCGCCGTTTTCATAATGTCATCTGGATTGACAGCAATCTGATTGTACGCCTTATCTAAGTCAATGGTAGAAAAGATAGAACAGCCTGTAAGTTGATACGAGAAATAGTGGATATGATGGATGGGATATCGATCAGGTATAGTTCTATAGTTTAGTGCTCTGTAGTCTCCACGTGGTCTCCAACTATCGTCTTTTGTCTTTACCATGTGAAGAGGAGAAGACCAAGCGCTTTCCGATGGTCTGACTGTGCCGCTGGCGAGCATGTCTGAGAACTCCTGCTTCACCGCTTGCATGCGAAGCGGATCCAGGCGTCGAGGCTTAATGGCTACTGAAGGTCCTGGAGTCGTTATAATATGGTGCATTGTGTTTGTATGGTAAGTGCATACCTGGAGGGCGAGTTATCTCTGGGAATTCACGCAGTATCTGGTGAAAATCGGTTTCTCTGGTGACTAACCTCACCGAAGCGATGTCCTCCGTTGAAGTGGGAGCTACGGCCTTGACCGAGAGAGTAGTGACATTGTCAACTAATCGTTAATTTCTACAGTCAACGAGTAAATTATAGTGGCTGAGGAAGTCAACTCCAATGATCGGTCGTGTCACATCGACTATTGTGAAATTCCATATGAAATTAGTAGCAGTAATGATCCGTAGGTGTGTATGACTGTGTTATTAGCAGCTATGACGTCATACCTGGATTTTGAACAGGGCGTCTTGACTGCTGACCGGGGAAAAACACACTGGTCTGAACCAGTGTCCACGAGGAACTGCATTTTTGATGTCTGATCTGAAATGAATAAACGGCATGTTGAAGAAGGGTAGTCGTTGCTACTTGCGACCACCCTGTAAGTTTTCCGCGTTAAATGTGCAACGCTGCTTACACTTGTTCGCCTTGCACCCGTAGGTATAATGATAAAAGTAGTGCGGGTGATCCGGTGAAGGCTTTTTGGGTCGGAATTTCATCGAATTGGATGGCGATCTTGAGTGTGAGTGGGAACGTTGTTGCCTGTTCAGTTGAGTAGTGAGAAGTGCTACTTACCTCGTTAGATCACTTATCTGCCTGGCTGTTTTCGGGTGGGTTTTCCTTGCTCATGTGGACTGAATTTTGTTCCCATCCATTTTATATGAAGTTAGCATTCTTCTCCGCTAGGAGTAATAATGTTTTGTGCTTATCATGGAGGTTGGAGAGAACAGGAGAACGATCGCTACGTGCTAAAGCATAGCCCGTCTGTCCCTGAAAATTTGTAGAATTTATAGCCGTGTTGCCGTCACTACTTCCAGCCTCCCGAACAAGCCGGTTTCCGAAAAGGCTTCAGTACCATAGACCACATACATACCCTGCGGCAGATTGTACAGAAGACCGAAGAGCCGCTGCCACTTTGCCTGGCATATGTGGACTATGAGAAAGCCTTTGATTCCGTCGAAATTTGGGCGGTGCTACAGTCCCTTCAGCGGTGCCAAGTTGACTGTCGGTATATCGAGGTGCTGAAGTGTTTGTACAGTAGGGCTACGATGGCTATCCGAGTACAGAACCAGAGTTCGAAACCTATCCAACTGCAGAGAGGTGTAAGACAGGGTGACGTTATATCCCCGAAACTCTTCACCGCTGCGTTGGAAGACGTTTTCAAGCTACTGGACTGGAAAGGATACGGTATTAACATCAATGGCGAGTACATCACTCACCATCTATTTGCCGAAGATTTAGTCCTTATGGCAGAATCGCTGGAGGACCTTAGCACTATGCTCAATGACCTCAATGGTGTCTCCCAACGGATAGGTCTTAAGATGAACATGGACGAAACAAAGATCATGTTTAATGTCCATGTCACACCTATGCCGGTAGTTGTTGGGAGCACTATGCTCGAAGTTGTTGACGAGTACGTTTACCTGGGACAAATATTCCGACTAGGTAAGTCCAACTTCGACCGAGAGGTCAATCGACGGATTCAACTCGGCTGGGCAGCGTTCGGGAAATTACGACACATCTTCTCGTCAGGTATACCTCAATCTCTGAAAACTAAAGTGTACAACCAGTGCGTGTTGCCAGTGATGACTTACGGATCTGAGACGTGGTCCTTCACTGCTGGCCGTATGAGGACGCTCAAGGTCGCTCAGCGAGCTATGGAGAGGGCTATGCTCGGAGTTTCTCTGCGTGATAGACTCAGAAGTGAGGATATCCGCAGTAAAACCAGAGTGACCGACATAGCCCAACGGATTAATAAGCTGAAGTGGCAATGGGCCGGCAATATAGCTCGAAGAACCGATAACCGATGGGGAAGAAAGGTTCTCGAGTGGCAGCCTCGTACCGTTAGGCGTAGTGTAGGGCGTCCCCCCACTAGATAGAGTGACGACCTGGTAAGACATGCAGGAAGTCGGTGGATGCAGGTGGCTCAGGACCGTGCTTTGTGGCATTACTAGGGGGAGGCCTATGTTCAGTAGTGGACTTGTGAAGGGCTGTAATGATGATGATGATGATGATGCCGCCACTAAGTAGTTTCTGTGAAGTACTCCAAGACTGGTGTATTTTTATAAAACTGCTAAATACAACAATCTATATTTTTATCAATTTATATCTTGGGCTTATCCTAGTTTGGAGCTCTAGCTTCGCCACTGCTCGTTTGTCACCCAATGCTATGAAAAAATTCGTTGAAGCATGTGCCCATGTCACAAAGGATGATTGGGCAAAGTGGTAGAAAACCAAAAAATGATTATGGATGACTTTGAAAGAGTCATTAATTTTGACTGCATTATTGAAAATCAAATAATAATTAATATAAACAACGACATCCCGACTGGTTGTACTGAAAGTGATTGAATAAAATACATATATAATCTAGTTTCAATCTTAAATTTTTATAACTGTGCCTCTAGAAATAAGCAGTTACAACAAATACGAAGAAACCGATAAATCTTTTGTTATAAATTATCCGTTTTTAATTTATTCTGGTATTATCCAAACCAAACTGTAAATGATTACCAACTCTAAATAATCGATAACGATTTTTTTTAAAAATCGAATATTGTACGTTCCCATTTTTTGGTTGACATGCTTGGTGCAATATGTCTGACAGCTGTCAAAATGTATTTCTTACTCTTTTCTATACTCAAAGACTTCTTAGATTTGGTTACGTAGACAGAGAAACTATAGACTAATGATTAGCGTGGCCTCGAGTGAGAAAGGACGACAAAGTAGTTTTAGGTTATACAATAATCTTTATGACTTTTAAACATACTTAGATAAAATTATTAACTGTTTTAAGAACTGAACTGAACAAGATTCACCAATCTTAAGCCCATAAAACACTTTTTCACACTTAAACCAACTTGTAAACTCCTTAGATCGCTACGAACTGTCAAAGTTGTTTAGTAAAGTGTAGTTTGCTAAACAAAAAAACCGGCACGGAGAAAGGGACAAACAATCACACCGCTCTGTCCCATTTCTATGCAAGACGTATTCTTAAATCTATCTTTTTCGTGTGCAAATGTGAAAGAAGGCGTCAATTTCTCTATAGGTTTCTCTGTCTACGGTTAGTACTCTTATTAGTTTGTGGATTTGGTTGACTATAGGTGAGAAAACTTTTAGGCTCAGAAGGGCTAGAACCCGAATCCGTAAAGCCAGTTAATAAAAAAAGTTAGGCGAGATGATCATAGATAAATAGATATGTATCAGGGTGCGTTTGGCAGAAAAAAGCGCAAGCAAGCGCTTATAAGCGCTAAAATAGTTATCGGCCAGGACACGATTGCTATTTGCTACTTCGGTAGCGCTGACACAATCCGCCATTTTGCTTATTTAATTTCTTTGTTTTGAAGTAGAGTTTATAAGTTGTTTTGTGCAATATTAGTTTTAAGTAATATAATGACATGAATAAACATATACATGCTATTAAAAACTCATGATTGGTAAGTTTTTAATATGAATACTTTACAAACATATATTTAAATTAGGTTAGATTCCCTGGTTAAAACTAACATCGTGTCCTGGAGGAAAATAGCTACTTACGATTTGACAGCGCTTACCGCTTACGATCGCCATTTTGCTTACAAGCGCTTGCTAGCGCTTTATTCTGCCAAACGCACCCAAGTGGGGGCTATGGCGGGAGGCGGGATAATGCGGAATATATTATTTATCTATGGTGCGGGATAATGCGATAAGGGGTTGATCATTCTTGGATGAGAGAAGAACATAGTGAAAATAATGAGTTTTCATTTTTAGTAAAGAATACTAACATCGTTGCATTAAATTAATAATAATTAAAATATTAAGGCAGTACAGTCAATTCTTTTATAAATAGTAAGTATGACAATCTAGCAAAGGTTAAAAATGACATTTTCTAGTTAACTCTAAAACAAAAAATTATGATCATATAGCTACAATATTTGAAACGATATTTATAAAAGTGAGAACAAAATTGTTATCCTATTTAATATTCAGTTCAAAGACCAGGATTTATCTCTAATCATGTAGCCAGATAAAGTCCTTATCTTAAACTTTATTTTATTTTCTCTGATTGAAATTAAATTTTTTAGGTTTTTAAATAGAGCTAGAAAGGGAATTTATTTTATATTATAACATTATATTACTTGATCTAATAAAATTTATTTGACCATGTAGTAGCAGTGTAAGAATGTCATACCCATGTCATCCAATGGATGTCGTAAGAGGCGACAGAGGAGAACTATACAGAAGTTGGGCAGCAGCGTCTTCCTAATAACAACTATAAAAAACTTCAGTTCATCTGCCAAGCGTGGCAAATATCCCCCTTATGAATCCATCTAGGGGAGACTTTTGAGGGGCTGTAATGGTATACCGACGATTCCACACAGTGGTGGTATAAGAACATCTATATATAAAGAATATCCTCATGTTTTCCGATGTCATAACTCATAACAATTAAGAGAAGGAAACTATCCAGGAAAGGGTGTCAGTATCTTCCTGATAATAACTAGAAATAAAAAACGCAGTTGCCAACCTGCCGACCAATTGTGGCAACTATGACAAATCCCCTTTAAGACAATATATATGGAAGGTTTTGTTCAGCAGTGGACATGATAGACTGTATGAATGCAATGAGTAAATTAATGATAAAATATAATTGTTTACTACAATTTTTTTAAGGTAATAATGGTGCTGCAAAGATATTTGCTTAATGCAACAAAACAAGTTACATCAAAGAAATGCATATTGCAAATAACACGGCAAACATTTTGTGCGTTTCGTCACAATTATAGCACTATAAAATCAGTCAATAGAAAATATACTGATCGACATGAGTGGTTGGTTGTTGAAAAGGATATTGGAACAGTTGGAATAAGTAATTATGCACAAGAATCACTTGGAGATATTGTCTTTGCACAACTTCCGGACTGTGGAACTGAAATAATAGCTGGGGATGAATGTGGTGCTCTTGAGAGTGTCAAGGCAGCCAGTGAGATATACTCTCCAGTCAGTGGTACAGTTACTGAAAAGAACAGTGATGTTGAAAATAAACCTAGTCTGATTAATACATCTTGTTTTGACAAAGGATGGCTGTTTAAAATAAAGTTATCAAAACCACAAGAATTAGATGAGTTGATGAATGGAGATGAATATGAAAAGTTCCTTAAAACAGATGTTGAGAAGGATCACAAATAATTTTTTTAATAATGTTTTATGTTTAATAATTGTTAGTAAAAATATAATTTGATAATCTCAACATGTCTTGTTTTTTCATTGCTGAGGTAATTAGTGCTAGGATCTGATAAATGGTAATAAGTAATCAAGTAATTAAAAAAAATTATACTTCTGAACCAAAATTACTCATATTCACAATATGATATGTTGGTTTAGTGCTAATAAAAAAATCACAATTTCTTTTTAAAAGAGAAAGTAAAAAGACCGAAATAAAATTCCACACACCATCATCTACCAAAAAGTGCGGAACAACGTCTGCTGTAGCTGTTTAAATTCTCAATGAATGGTAGCAATCAGTGTAGTACAGGATTATATTGCACAGATGCATTCGATTCACTAACACCATTCTATATTATCATATGTAGTAGAGCCATGCTGCAGTTATATTAGAAGTATAGTTGTAGCACGAATGAGTCGGCTCGACCGGGGAAGGACCACGCTCTCACAGAATACCAGCGTGAAATAGTAGCTTAATGCTGCTGTATTTCGTATGGTGAGTGTAGAGAACTGGAGACCCTTTTTACTGGAAATGAGGCATTCCATCTTAGTCCTCACGGGTGACAACGCATCTGCATTTTGATTCGTAATCGAGGATAGATGTAGATGTCTATGGGCCACAGCAACCACTTACCATCAGGTGGACTGTGTGCTCGTTTGTCACCCTATCCTATAAAAAAAATTATGCAACTTTATTTCTATTTTATGGCTTATAATAAAATGAATGTTATTCAAACCACACACTTTTTTTTTGATTTTTGCAATCCTGTTCAATCAAAGGTTGTCTGAAAGAGATTGCTCTTAGCGATTAGACCACCCACTGTACCACATTTCTTTCTCTCCCTTTTTGTTAACATTTATGTTTTTTCTGGCGTGCAAATGCTATCTATATCTATATCGGCACTTATAGTCTGCAACCTTACATCGAAAAGTGATCAGGCACAGGCACTGGGGTGAATACTGCCAGCTTCCTCATACCGGGCTGCTATTGGGAATTTATTGATGGAGAAACCCAATAACTTACAAATCATTTATCATCGAGTTCCTGATATAAATTACATCTTCAATATGATATATACTCCTGAAGAGAGTATAATAATAAATGGGAATTTATTGATGGAGAAACCCAATAACTTACAAATCATTTATCATCGAGTTCCTGATATAAATTACATCTTCAATATGATATATACTCCTGAAGAGAGTCTAATATCTACCATATTCCCTTTTAATAATTAAACCTGTTTTTTTATCCTTAGATTTTTTTTATTTAAGTACATAATTTATTTGAATAGTTCTAATTTGCATTGTATTGATTGAATGATATTTGTTCTCCAAATAAACCCAAAATTGCACGACTCAATTTGTGAATGTTATGTACACTTGTTATGGATATACATATCAGAGAGTATAGAAATGAGTATGTTTTCGTGATTGTCATATATGTGTATTGTAGGTGTACTTGTTAAATAAAATAAAATAACTTATTGTGATCTAAATTGATTCGAAGCTGAGACCTCATGATCAGCAGTTATGCTTACTCATGACCACTAGACCTACAAAGCAGTAAATTTTAGGTTTAGTGATGTGTTGTGTTAATTAATCCACAAACCCAATGTAGATATAGTTAGAACATAGTGAAAAGCTCGTCGCTCACTAACATATTATTAAATTTGTTGTTGCTACAACTAACTTGAAAGAAAAACAGTGGCTCGCCAGTATCAGGAGCGACCTGCCGCGAGTAGCCTACCCGTCGATCCGGTCATTTATAGAAGTACAAACCAAAAGCAGCTTTTTATACGTACAGCATACAGCTACGTGTCGGAGGCAACCAGAGAATACGTCACAAAAATATCATGTTATCCATTGGTAGAGCCATGCTGGAGCTATAATATGGTTGCAGCACAAATGGGTCCGCTTAATCGGAGATGGAGAGCAATGGATCAGTTTACGAGGGCTGCGCTAAAAGTATCGGGAATGGAATATTTCCACTGTTCCTGTCATATTAAAATATTTTTAAATGAAAATTCCTTGGTTTTAAAAAACGAATCCCATTTATTCATTTAAAAAAAAGATTCTCGGTCTTGTCACAAGGTTTTGTCAAACTTGTTTAGTCGTTGAAAAATGGAATTGAGTCGAGAAAATTCAAGAGTGATGATTTATTATGATTTTCGAAGTGGTTTAACACAAAAACAGTGTGTTGACCGGATGATTTCTGCATTTGGTGATGAAGCCCCATCCAAAACCACAATTTATCGCTGGTTTGCTGAATTTCAACGTGTACGTGTCAAGCTCAGTGATGATCCCCGTCAAGGTCGTCCAAAAACTGCAATCACCCAAGAAAACGTTGATGCTGTGCCTAAGCTGATTGAGGAAGATTGACATGTGACATACCGCGAAATTCAGGCAACTTTAGACATTGGCATGAGTCAAATACAAATAATCTTGCATGAACAATTAGGTGTAAAAAAGTTGTTTCCCGATGGATACCGCATTTGCTCTGTGAAGAGCAAAAAGCGGCTCGCGTTGCTTGGTGCGTCAGAACTCTCGAAAGATTCCACGCAGGATCCTCAAATGCTGTTTAGGTACAACATCATATCAAGTGACGAATCCTGGATATACGCGTACGATCCCGAAACAAAAAACCAGTCACGAGTTTGGGTGTTCGAAAATGAGTTAAAGTCAACAAAAATTGTTCGTTCATGGAGTGTTGCAAAAAAATGGTGGCCACGTTTGTCTCCAAAACCGGCCATGTTACGACTATTCCTCTTGAGGGACAAAGAACGGTTAAGGCAGAATGGTATACTAGCATTTGTTTGCCACAGGTCGTTTCTGAACTCCGTAAAGAGAACTGCAACCACCGCATCATCCTCCATCACGACAATGCGAGTTCTCACACCGCACACAGAACAAACGAGTTTGTAGAGCAAGAAAACATAAAATTATTAGACCATCCGCCGTACAGCCCCGACCTAAGCCCTAATAATTTCTATACTTTCCCTAAAATAAAGAATAAATTGCGTGGACAGAGATTTTCATCACCTAAAGAAGCTGTGGACGCCTACAAAACGGCCATTTTTGAGACCCCAACTTCCGAATGGAATGGTTGCTTCAATGATTGGTTCCATCGTATGGAAAAATGTGTCAAATTTCGCGGAGAATACTTCGAAAAGCAATAAATACATTTTTAAATAGTAATGTTGTGTCACTTCCTTGATTCCCGAAATTTTCAGTGCCGCCCTCGTAATACTGCTGTGTTTCGTACGGTTTTTTTTATTTTTTTTTTATAGAAGCGGGGGCAAACGAGCCTGCGGCTCCTGATGTTAGGTGACTACCGCCGCCCATGATCAACCGCAACACCATGGGAATTGCAGGTGTGTTGCCGGCCCTTTAGAAAGGAGTAAGCTCTTTTCTTGAAGGTCCCTAGGTCGTATCGGTCCGGAAAAATCGCCGGTGGTAAACTATTCCACAGAGAGGTCGTACGCGGAAGAAAACTCCTTCTGAAACGTACAGGGGTAGACCGCCAAGCATCCAGATGTTGTGGAGGGTAACGGGGTGTTTGCCGCGTAGTGCGTTCACGAAATTTGACGGCTGGGATTAACCCGAACCATTCCTAAGAGCACTCCCCGTGGTATATGCGAAAGAAAATGCAAAGAGATGCAACATCTCTTTGCATTTTCGTAGCGCCAGTGAAACGAGCTGATCGGAAAGCACTCGGTCGTCGACGATTCGAGCCGCTCTGCGCTGGATGCGGTCAAGTGGAAGAAGTTGGCACTGGGGAGCCCCAACCCAGAGATTTTTTATGTGGTAGAGCCATGCTGCAGTTATATTAGATGTATAGTTGTAGCACGAATGGGTCGACTCGACCGGGGTAGGACCACGCTCTCACAGAATACCAGCGTGAAATAGTAGCTTAATGCTGCTGTATTTCGTATGGTGAGTGTAGAGAACCGGCGACCCATTTTACTGGAAACGAGGCATTCCATCTTAGTCCTCACGGGTGACAACACATCTGCATTTTGATTCATAATCGAGGATGTAGATGTCTATGGGCCACAGCAACCACTTACCATCAGGTGGACTGTGTGCTCGATTGTCACCCTATCCTATATAAAAAAAAGATGGGAACAGTATTCCATGTGTGGCCGAACCTGCGCCTTATAAAGTTGCAAGCGGTGTGCCGGCATGAAATACTGTCCTGCTCTGATAAGCACGCCTAGCTTTTTTGAGGCCAATTTGGCCTTCTCTTCCAAGTTATCACGAAACTGCACGTCACTCGATATGTCGACGCCGAGGATTCCGATACTGGCTGAGGCAACAAAGGGAGTGCCTAGAAACTGAGGAGATACGACAAAGGGGTTCTTTTTAGCGGTTAACGCGCAAATTTGTGTCTTCTGAGGGTTAAACTGGACTAGATTTAGTCGCCCCCAATCTGAGACTGTTCAGCAAAGACTCGACTTCAGACACAAGTTTGTCCCGGTACACGGAGAGGTTTTCCCGAGAAATAATGGCACGGCCGTTGTACGGAGCATCACCAGTGCTGTCATCTGCATAGCAATGAATGTTACGGGTTTGCAACATATCATTGATATGCAGAAGAAACAGCGTTGGCGATAGAATGCAGCCTTGTGGAACACCAGTATTAATAGGCTTGTAGTCGGAGCTTGCACCGTCTAGAACGACCTTGATGTTCCGATCTGCAAGAAAGCTGGTGATCCAATTGCACAACTTCTTAGGAAGTCCATAGGAGGACATAGGAGGATAGGGAGCTTCGAAAGAAGCGCTTTGTGCCATGCCTCCCCCTTGGACTCTACTGACTCCGCCCATCTATGAGTTTGGTAGACCAGAAGATCACCAGCTGATCGACCACGACGAAATCCGTACTGGCGATCACTAATCAGCTGGTGATCCTCAAGGTACCTCATGAGTTGGCAGTTTACAATGGACTCCATTGTTTTGGAGAA